AGCTGGCCTTCACATATTAAATAGAATTCTAAGTAAACTAAAATTCCAAATTAGTAGGTAATTAATGCTTAGTAATTTTGGATAAACTTTACTAGAAGAGGCATTCATTTATTTGGCAAATGTGGTTTGATATCAGATTACATGTAAGGTATACCAACAATATAAAAGAGCAATAAATATTCATAAATCTTGAGTATTCTGCCAAACTGACTAAAAAGTGATAAAGAAAAATATTGATTTTCTTTTATTTTTAAAAATTCAGAAAAATCTCATAAGGAAGATTCTTTACTATGGCTTCAGTGGTGAATTCTATCAAATACTAAGGAGAAAATATCAAAATTATCAAGAAATTCTTAGAAATTAGAGGAAACACTTCAAGATTATTTTATGGAATCAAAATAAACCAATTCTAAAGCCTGACTCCCCTCCACCCCCACTCCAATGAATAGAGAATTCTAAAAAATCAACAAAATACTAATGAGCCAAGTACAGCATTATACCAAAACCATAATATCAGGGCAATTGAGCTTAATTGCAAGAAAGATAGGTTGGTTTAACATTCAAAAATTAATCCTATTACGAGGGGCCTCTTAAAAATCCATGCAATTGCTTTTTGGTTTGGACGAAGGGTTAGTGATATAATGTTTACTGATTGAGTGTAAGCATGAGTAAAGGCATCAAGGAAAAATTTTAATTTTTTTTTTGAGCAGTTGAGTAGATGGGGTGCTATTTACAGAAAATTAAAAGTAGCATTTTTATATATTTAGACTGAAATGTCCTGTTATGCACCCTTGAAGGCAGTTGGAGTTAGTATCCTTAGATTTTGGGAGAGGTCAGCATAAACACTACGATTTGTAATCAAACGGATGGTTTGTGAAGTTACGGTCACCTAATGTGAGGTCAGAGGAAGAAAGGAAGAAGAAGTACTGAATCCAGAAATTATATACCAATGAGGTATATAATATAAATTATATACCAATGAAGAAGACTAAGTGTGTACAAATTCAAAGAAAGTATGTTCAAGAAGGAAGGATGGGCAATTCAGGACCAGAAAGGATAAGATTTTTTTTTTTTAAGGATAAGATTTTTTTTTTTTTTTTTTTTTAAGATTTATTTTTATTTATTTATACAAGCACTGGGTACAGTCAGAAGCGCGGGAGGGTGAGAGAATTCACCAGAGCCAGAGCGGGGAGCAGAGCAGGCAGAAGGACCGAAGTACACTGCTGAGGGGAGCAGCGGGCGGCAGGAGAGGTCTGCGCGCCATGCGGGACCCTCCTCCGGTGGCCGGGGAGCAGCCGGGGATCGAACCGGCGCCGCAGAGGCTGCGGGCAGCTTTGCAACCCAGCGCTCAACCGTTGCGCCACCGGGGAGGCCCAGGATAAGATTTTTGACAGCCACAGAAGTGAGAGGAAAAGGAAGGATGAAAAGAAAAAGCAATTTCATCAGAGAGCAGAATAAAGAAATATTATCTCTATTGATTTTCTATCTATTAACTTTTGGGGAATAGGTAAACTATAGAGATTCACTTCAGGAAGTCAGTATCCTGGAGTAAAAATTTCCAGGTACACTACTAACTCCTTCCAATTTCTATAACACTGTTTAGTAGGTAGCCTTAGATAGTCATTGTCTTCCAGTAAGCATATATCCATCACCCACAATGACTCTTAGTAGGCCCACAGGGAGGTGAGTTCATCTATAGTATTTCTCATCTAAGCGAGAACTCTTGGGATCATTTTTTCCCCCAAAAACATTGCTGATGACTTGAAAATCAAATAGCCCAAGGAAATTCTGGTATCTTCACAGATGAAGTGAAATGTAGAAAAACAAATTCACTTTGATTTATCTTTGCGAAGATATGCGGCATTATTTTTTTCTGAACAGGAATGCAATGAGCTAGTTTGACATAAATAAATGAGGGCCTCCCTGGTGGTGCAGGCGGTTGAGCACAGCACTGTGAAGCTGTCCACAACCTCTGCGGTGCTGGTTCAATCCCCACCAGCTGTGGAGATACCCACATGGCAAGCAGACCTCTCCTGTCTTGCCCACTGCTCCCCTCAGCAGTGTATTTCCTCGTTCTGCCTGTTCTGTTCCCTGCTCTGTCTCTGGTGAATCCTCTCACCTCCTGCACATCTGGCCTGTACCCCAGTTCTTGTATAAATAAATCTTTAAAAAAAAAAATGAGGGTGAGTTTTTTTCCCCAGTAGTATGAAAGTTTATCAAATACAAACGATGGATGATTTCAGCCCTAAGTCTATCAGGTGAAAGTCTATCAGGTCTTACCTCTCAAAGCTGACTTCCTGTTTGCTAAATTCTACCACCTACTGCTATCAAATATGTCATTGTTTTGCTTTGACAAGACTTTTAGAACAAAAAAGGTTAGTATAAATTTTGAGTCCAGAATAATATCCTAGCTGGAGGGTGATCCAACTTCTAGAACTCTGCGCATACACACATACAAATCTTGATGTAAAAAAAAGCACAAACGGTCTGATTTCCTTCATTTTTTCAAACCTAAACCACTGATATCAGTTTATTGGTTTTCGTAAGAATCAAATAATATACCACCTTAAAATTTCTATTTAGGAGGGGCCTCCCCAGTGGCGCAGCGGTTGAGCGCTGGGTTGCAAAGCTGCCGGCGACCTCTGCGGCACCGGTTCGATCCCCGGCTGCTCCTCGGCCACCGAAGGAGGGTCCCACATGGCGCGCAGACCTCTCCTGCCGCCCGCTGCTCCCCTCAGCAGTGTACTTCGGTCTTTCTGCCTGCTCTGCTCCCCGCTCTGGCTCTGGTGAATTCTCTCACCCTCCCGCGCTTCTGACTGTACCCAGTGCATGTATAAACAAAACGAACGAACAAACAAACAAATAAATAAATAAAAACATGCCTCTTAAAAAAAAAAAAATTTCTATTTAGGAGAAAATAATTGTATACAAACAGTTTCTACTAAGTTGCTTCTCTGATTGATTTAAAAGGAATATAAGATCAAATATATCTAGGCAAAAATTAAGCACAGGCACACAGGGAAATTGTTCATAAAAAGGTTTATTTACAAGGGAAATGAGAAGAGAACATGTAGAGATTAATTGGTCAGTGTGTCTTTACTGGTAATGCTGTCTGAGCTGGGATCCCGAGTACACACTGAGGGCGGGCAAAACCAAAAGCTCACAGGCCCATGTGTTCAGTTTTATACCAAGCATGGCTGCTTACCTCAACCCTTAGTTCCCAGCAACTCACCCTTCCCTTTTTGGAAGTCAGAACTCATGGCAGATTCATAGCATGATGGGAGTTGTAGTCCTCAGAGTCTGCGATTTCTTTGGCATGGAGGTGGGGGTGGAATCCATAAACCACCAGTGGATGGAGATCATTCAGAAGTTACTCTTTCCCCATTATGGCATAGGGTGTATTTGGCCTTTTAGCAGTGAACTTATTGAAGGATAGACACATGCTGATTGTTAGCAATGAACAACTGCAACTTTTGTAATGGCATAATGCAATAGTTTTTCCATTAAAATAAAAACTATCATCAGAACCCATGCCCTGATTAAATAATCCTTGCCTCTTCTCTTCAGGGCAGTTTCTACCCCTATCTCTTTGCTGCAATGGAAGAGTTGGATTGTTTTGATACATGGGTCATGATGATTTTTTAAGAGCTTCTCGCTTAGCAACTTACACAACTTGTACAAAACAGCATTATTAACTATACCACCATTTGTACATTATTTCCCCATGACAAGTCATGGAATTTATAGGTGGAATTTATTATTAAGCAGCAATTTAATAGATATTCAATCTGTTGCTGACTGCTTCCCACACTGTTCATCCTGCATAAGTACAGACTGATCCCAAGGACCCAAGAATCAAAGAAATCACCACCTGACCTAGAACTACCGGGCAGTCTTCACTCCTAATATCCCACTAGCCTGGTAATCAGACAATAGGAAGGGAAACGTCTTGCCTATATATTCAATGGATCGACTGAAATAGATTTTAATTAATATTTAGGGGGAAGAATTAATAAAAAATTAGGGACTGCTATGAGAAAAGTGTTTCTGTGTTTTATAATAGTAAAACTCCTAATTCCAGATGGCTTTTTTTTTTTTTATCATAAAAGGACACTGGATTTTATTGTACTTCTTCTGCATCCAATGAGACGATCATTTATCCCCTGTATTCTGTACTCAGTGAAGAACATTAATTTTTGAAACTCCTCTAGTGAATTTGTTGGGAGAACAAACATCTCTAGTTTGCTGGTAATTCAAAACAGATAAAATTAGATTGTGTATTTTAAAAGCAATTTTTCACTCAAATCATTTTTAAGCATGTCTGAGTTTGATTACTTAATCATAAACAAAAGCACAAGTCATGTCTTTCTGCAGCCCCCTGATTCCTCCATACCTGGTCCTGGCTGAAGCATCCTGCTGTTACCCAGCCAACATAGACAGGAAATTTTTTTCAATTAAAAAAAGGCATTACTAAGTATTTCTAGTTTAACAATCATTGCTTTGCATGTTGACAAGTATTCAGTTTTACCATTTGTTATTATTATTCTATTTTTAAAAAGATGATTTATTTATTTATGCATAGAACTGTGGGCCAGAGGTAGTGGGGAGGACAGAGAAGATAGAGTGGGGAGCAGAACCGGTGGATTTACCGAAATACACTGCAGCGGTTGAGACAGGAGAGGCCTGCTGAGCCATGTGGGTTAGTGCTCTTGTTGGGGATCGAACTCAGGCCGCAGTGGTGACAGCGCTGAGACTTAGTCCCTAGGCCACCGGGGAGGCCCCTGTTTTCATTCTGAAAGTTCAGCTTTGTGGATGGGATTTCATTTTCTTAAAAGACAAAACTAACACACCCCCTTCAGTTCAGTGGAGTACATTCTTTCCAAACTGATTAAGTAGATGGTAATCACGAGTATAATATATATTGGATGTAGACTGTGATATTCAACCAAATATTCCAGGGACTTGAGACTATGAGCAGCAGAAAAACATCTAACACAGAAATATACTGTATAATAGTTTTATTTTTCTCATTTTACTATTTTTACATTTTATGCACAAATATTTATCTGAGTAAAAATAGAAAATAACTGTCTTATGCAAAATTACAAAAAAAAATAAAAACCACAAAGAAATACATAATTGTTATTATGACAGTATAGGTGTCTTTATTTAAAGAGTAAAAATGTATGCAAAAAATCCTCCTCCCTTTTACAAAAGATTGAGAGTATTTTTTTCTGGCAGCAAGTGAAATATCACCAAAATATCAATATTTTTACACCTTCTAGCTCTGAAGACATTTAGTCAAGGTTGTTTTGCAATTACGAATTTAAAACCCTTTTTGTGCTACTTCAAAGACACAGTAAAAGTTCTTTTTAAATGGCAGTAGCATAAAGCGATGGATATGGAAAATAGCAGACCCCACCACAAATACGTTGTAGTACTTCAGGTCTCACCATTAATCAGGGGAGAAAAACAAACAATTTTTTTCCTAATTAAAAATTAGGATTGGACAATGAATACAAAAACAACGTGATGAGTTGGTTTATGTGAAGACAAACCACATATTTTTCTGCCTCACTTATCTGATCTGATGCTAACACAAATTTTCCAAACTTCAGGCTAGCAAGATATGTATTGAAGTTGGCTCAGCGAGAACCTCAAATGGAACACACGTTTTAAAACAAAAGTGGAAAATGTAATTATTCTTGTACTTCTAAGGTACAAAAATAATTTTAATCGTGTCTTCTTCTGAAGACAGATTATAAATTCTCCTCTAGCAAATTCATTCATAAAAACAACAAAGAATGAACTGCATGAATTCTATTTTTTTTTTCACAACACAATTTATCTTTTATTAAGACTACCTGGATTTCTGATAGTTGTAATCTCAATAAAGACACTGGGCTTTGAGAGAAAGTACTGGGAGTTTTTGCATCAACTGGGGAAATTAGTCTCATTACTGTACCTATGTTATGGTGAATAAGATGCTGATGAGAAGTGAAGAATAAAAAGAAACAGCACCAGATCATATATGAGAACTGTCTCTGTTTAAATTATAATGAGGAATAAAAGAAAAAAAAAAGGAGAGAAAGTATTTTTTTTAAGCATCAAAGGAATGCTTACAGGAGAAAATTAACAGTTTGATTTTAGGGATCTAAAACATATGGGTGTTCCTTGCCTAAAGTAGATATACATACGCACATATATATGTATATTTGAGACACTTTGGCTAAAACATAATGTCTCCCCCAAAGCAGTTTAAATCTAAAAGTAAAGAGTTTTAAGCTCTTGATATTATATCATAAGAGTATACTTTATTTTTTAAAATTATAAGCAGCTTATCAACCTTCCCAGGCCATAAGAAGATGCAAAACTTGTAACTGTTATCTGAAACTAGAGCTTCTATATATTGTTTCATATTACTATTCTACTCAGATGTTCCTGCAATTACAACACCCAAATCATACTAATCATTTGTCAATTTAGTCTGTATTTATAAAAAGGTAAAAATGGAAGTTGCAAACTTCCATCTTTTCAGATTATCTACTGCAGGGTCTTGAAGGGCTTAAGGTGCGGATATGAATGAGCTGGCCTGACACACAGTCGTCGGGTGGCATAGCACTTAGCTTTCTGACTGAGGTTACCAGGAAAGAAGAACACAGAGCCTCCGACCCCTTCCTAAGCTTCCTGCCTCCTCTGGCTCCCTCCAGACCACTCTTCCGGATTGGCAGCAGCTAATGCTAGTAACACTGCCTTGCTGTATGTATTAACATGGCCCTTTCCTCCTAGTTAGTCAGAAGCATTCACTGAGCTCTGATAATGTTATTTTGAGGAATGAATTTAAAGGAAATGAGGGAGAGGGTGCATAAAGTATTACCTGAAAATTAATCATCTGTTATAAAAGCATTAAAAGCTATTTGCCAGTATCTCATATCATGATTTGCACATAATACCTTAAAACAGACCACAAAAAGAAAAAAAGCAAGGAAGCCAGCAAGTGAGCAAGAAAGACATTTCTAGCCATTTCTGTTTAGTGTTAGCTGTGGTAAGTAGTTTCATATATATAGGAATTAATCAACTTTTTAAGGAATTTTAGAAATAGCCTTATATCTTTTGAAGTATGTTTCCTTTTGAATATCACCACCTTCCTATGTATGTGTATACATGACTGTGTCTATATATGTCTACATATATAGACACGCACACCCCAAGTGGTGATTTTGACATGTATACAGATCACTGTATACTCACATATATATAATATTCAAAAGGGAAAAATTAAGTGGGAAATTTTCCTTAAAGAGAAGACTTCCTCAACTGGAGGTCACATTTTCCTTTTAAAACTACTTGTAAGTAATTGACTAATGTGGTTGAAAGGTAAGGTACTGCTGATATGTTAAAGTCTTCATTTCATCAGAATCACAATGAAAAAAATATAAGCTGCTTTTGCACGATAAACCAGCACTATAATTTTTTTTTTTTTAAAAAGAAGCCATACCAAACCAAACCAAACTTTTATTTACTGGCTAAGGTATATACCTTTTTCAGTTTTTTAAATCTCTGACGGGAAAAACAGAGATCATTTCAGAATTTTTGTAGTAGTTGGTTTATTAGAATTAAATGCCTCTCTTGAAATAATTTAAATTCTTGGCCTGACATTATGAATAAGCTATACAGAAAATCCTTAAAATTAGCTTAAGTTAAGCCAAATTTAAACCTGGATCTCCTTCTTCAGCACTGCTCTTCTGTGAGTCAACTTACTGTCCTCTGCTTGCAAATATATAAATTAATAACTTGATATTCTTAGTTTAGTAATTTATTAATATTATAATTTTGAATATTTTAGCTCTGCTTGATTAGATGAAACAGGCACACATGCTTTAGCTGTGAAAAATTCCATTTTCTGGTTCTACGTAAAGCAACATCTAAAGCAGCAGAGAGGAAAAATATATTTTCAAAAATAGTTAAGCCAGACTGTTTCCTGAAGATACTTCATTTTTCATCCTCAGATGCTACTGGCTATTTTTGGTAGGGCTAGACATTAATACTGACCAGTTTAGCTTTCCTGACTGTTAACAAACTATCCCACAATGACCCTGACCTTCACGCTGAAGACATTGTGGTGATCCTTTAACATACACATATTCTAAAATATATGCTCAAAGTAAAAAGATCCAAATTCACAAGAGTATGAAATATTTATAAAAAAATCATGCATCAGATTGTACAGTCTAGAAATAAAAGAAAATTCAAATTCAGTAATAAAGGTGTGAGCAGTACTTGCTCTAATATTTAAGAAAGACCTCGGACTCCCAGAAGGTCCTGGGCTCAATTATCCTTTTCTGTTTGCAAAGACGCAGTAGCAAGGGCTACTGCTGTGACTGGCTGGGCAATTCCATGGAGCTGCATCTTTGCCAGTTTCTTCTGTTCACATTCTGTGACCAAACGGTTCAACTCTGCTGCACTATATCCAATAAGAGTCTTCAAGTCACAGACAAACTTGTACACAAATCTCTTGCCTTGAACTTTACAAATCATGTCCCCATCATAATAATACCTTTTAAAAGAGAAAAACATATTAGAACTATACAAAAAAATCCATCTGAACTTCTTAAACAGCCCCTCAGACTACTCAGACAAGAGCCTAGTAGAGCAATGAATCCACCACAACAGCACTTCAATTGTGAAGTTACATAGAAATTTCAATATTATTATCGAAGACAAAAATTTAATTTTTTACTAAAATTTCGATGCTCAACAGTCCAAAACTTTATGTACTAAATTTTCAAGGCATATTTTCAACAGTCATGATGAATCACTGATTTTAAAGTAAACATTAAACAAAGGCAAAAACCTGTGGCGCAGTAACGGAGCCTAAGAACAAGGTCCTGGAGTCAGAATGCACAGACTCAAAATCTAGCATCTCCACTCACTACCTTTGGGATCATAAGGCAACATTTTCCCTAAACTTTTACTCCTCTCATCTTTAAGATACGGTTCAAAACAATACTTGTCCTCACAGAACTGAAAATTAAAAGGATTATCTTTGAAAAATCACTAAACACGATCACTGGAGAGCCCTCTACGAAATATATGCTATACTAACCCATGTAACATGAAGGCATTTTTAATATGCATATCTTATTTTATATAAAATCTTTTATTATGTAGCCATATCTTTAGCTTTATCATTTTTATATGCAAAGTCTTTCCTTTTAGAGAAATTCTCCAAACCTAATATGGGAGCCTCAAAAGTATAGGTATAACAGTTAAGAGGACACAGAGAAATAGGCAACGGTATCACAAAGTCACAATGTTTCTAAACCTACACAGGCATATTTGGGGACTCTAGAAGTCTACTTCACTGCTGCTTTTGTATGGAAATGGGTTTGTATTTACTTTAGAACCCTGTATTTACCCTCACGCACATTCAATTCCAGTAGGAAAAAAAGGTGAATCAAGACTTTCCTGGGCTTGCATTGTTCTAAAATTGTACCACATATTTCAACCCATCTGACAAAGAGCAGTGACAAAAGAAATGACTATTTGCAAAAGTACCACTGGTAGAAACTATTACATTTAGCAGGATTTCATTGTAAGAGTTACTCAGTTTAATCAAGTCTATTAAGAAAAGACTGACCTATATGCGTCAAATTATGTCATCTTTCCCTAATTCTAGAATAGCAAAAGTATTTAATAGTTGTGTTCACTTTCCTAGTAAGTTTATTTCCCAGTATACCAAATTGGGTCTTGTGTTCCTTTTGTGCCAATTACATTAATATAGACTTGCCATCTCAGTGTACAAACCACCAATTGCTTGTTAAACAGAAATCTTAAAGACAATTTCTGCACAATATCGAAGGATGCAACAAGCAGACGTGGAGAAAAAGGAACATGAAGAAGGAAAGTGGTTTCATATTTCAACAGAGAATATGGAATTGATATAACCTTAATATTCTTAATAAGAGGTGATAAAAAACATGCAAGTTATAATTTTACTAATATTTCCTTTACGCTAGTAAATGCACAACTAACCAACCATAATAACAATATTCATAATAGCATCTGCTCCCTCTCTGAAAGGTGACGCAGAAAGGTACACAATACCTGTATTTCAGGGGGTGTGATTTCTTTCGTCTTTTTTGGGGAAACTTGTATTTTTTTTAGACCTTTTAAATTGTAAAATATATTACACAAACAGAAAGGAAACAAAAGTAAATAGCTCAGCGATAAATTACACATGAACAATCACCTATGAACTGTGACTTCAGGAAATAGAACACTGCCAACACCCCAAAGTCCCTCCACAGCCCTCCAATCATCATCCCTCCTTCATTCCAAAAGGTAAATGATCCTGTTTCATGATAGCAATTTCATTGCTTTAATTTGTATATTGTCACCCAAACATGCATCCCTAAATGTGGTGATTTTGTTTTCCTGATTTTGGGTCTGGATTCTTTCACTGAACATTACTTATGTGATATTCATCCATATCCATGCTTGTAAAAGTTCATTTTTATGTCAAGTATCCTTCTGTTTACTACAATTTATTTATGTAGTCTGTTGTTCATAGATATTTGAATGGTTTCCCGTATGGAGATGTTATAAATAATGCTGCTGTGAACTTGTGTGACCATATGCAAACATCTTTCTTTGGTAAATATTTAGGAGAAAAACAGCTGGGTTACAAGTTACATTCCTACTACTCTGTATCCTCACCAACACTTCTTATTGGCAATCAGTTTTATTGTAGTCATACTAGGGTGTGTGCTGGATCATTCTGTCATGGTTTTACATTGCATTTCCCTGATTACTAATACACCTTGGCATACATTCATTTATCATTTGAATAATCAATAACTTAAAGTATCTAATTTTCTTTGCCCATTTATTCATTCTTCCCCACCCCCCACCGGATCTATAAGAGTTTCTTTAGCTAGTCAAGATGTGAACCTAATGGTCGGGTGTATGTGGCTTGCCTTGTACTCTCTTGATGAAAACTTGTGATGAGCACAATTTTTTCATTTAAATGTAGTCCAATTTACTGATCTTTCATTAACAATCAGTGCTTTTGGTTCTGTTTACTATCTTTCGCCATAAAGTGATGGAGACAGTTTTAGACTCTTTCCTATTTTATTTTTCACATTCTGAGCTACTAGCTACATGGAACTGATTTTTTGGTATGGTAAAAGGAAGGGTCAAGTTCCACCTTCCCCAAACGTACAGTCAATTGTCTTAGCAGCACTCACTGAAAAGGAGTCCTTTTCCGCATGTGTCTTCTCACTACAGCCCTCTTTACCTATGTGTTTGGCTCTATTTGGGCCATCTAGTCTCTGTCTACTTGTCTATCCTCAGTAAACCATTTCATAGTGCATCTCAAATCCTGGACATGTCCTTCCACTGTGGCGTCTTCCTCAGGAATCTTGGTTATCACTATACTTTATATTCCCATATAAATTTTACAGTTTATCTCATCAATTTCTATGAAAAAACTTGTTCAGACCTTTCCCACAGTGAAACTTGTCAATCTGGGAAGAAGAGACAACTTATTAATTATTAGTTATTAATTTTAATAATCTGCAATCTTGAGGGGACTGGTATGAACACAATCATTTTACTATCGAAAATGAGTGTTTTAATTCTGATTACATGAAAAGGATCCTTAGATAGTTGGGAAAGTGAAACTGAATAATTAACACACTGAATAGAAAGCATTTTGATGATTACTTATCAACGCAAGGGAAAACAAATGGGCATTCTGAAAAAAAAAAAAAAAAAAAACCAATCCTGGTAAACTATGAAACAGTACTTACATGGCCATGATCCTATAACAATGAATACTGATCTAACCAAAATTTCTATGTAATTTATAACTGCACTGGGATGAGTAGATGGAAAAGGTATGTGTAGATAGTGACAAGAGGTAAATCATAATCTCAGCGTGAAATTCACAATGTCCAAGTAAAACATTACTTGGAAAGAGAGCATTAATAGCATACTACTCAGGGGCCTCCCCGGTGGCGCAGCGGTTGAGCGCTGGGTTGGGAAGCTGCCGGCAGTCTCTGCAGCGCCGGTTCAATCCCCGGCTGCTCCCCGGCCTCGGGAGGAGGGTCCCACATGGCGCGCAGACCTCTCCTGCCGCCCGCTGCTCCCCTCAGCAGTGTACTTCAGTCCTTCTGCCTGCTCTGCTCCCCGCTCTGGCTCTGGTGAATTCTCTCTCCCTCCCGCGCTTCTAACTGTACCCAGTGCTTGTATGTATCAATCAATCAATAAATAAATCTTTAAAAAAAAAAAATAGCATACTACTCAGAAACAGAGGTATACTGCAGAACACCTACACTGTATTCATGATCAAAAAAATAGATAACTCCTTGATTATTCCTATGTATCATAATTCTCAGATATTTAAATGCATATAATGAATTTCCATTACTGTAGTATAAGCATAATTTCTAACAGTAATCATGAAAAAAATTTCATGCTACATATGAAAATTACAAATAATTTTATTCTATTTCAACTTCATAGTATCAAAGTTGGATATTCAGATTCAAGCAGAATGCAGAGAGAAAAAACAGAAATGGGTCAATTTTTCCATCTAATTACAAAAATAAACAATCCGTATATTTGCTAAAATTTATGCTCAATTCCCCTATGCAAATGAAAATATCTACCTATTACAAAAAAGAATCCTGAAAAAATGACCATGTTGGTTTTCAACAGTTGTGCATATTTTAAAATCCGGTAAGAAAGAAATCTTAAGAAAACTGTCTCAAATTTACCCAAGATCTTTTCAAAAAGTCATTTTTAACCTAAGTATGAAATCTTTAGCTTTTTTAAAGACATGTAAACATCTCATGAAAAATCATGTATTTTACATCATTATATAACAACGTTCATGCCTAGAGTAAGAAGTCATTTTTTAGATTGGTGTCAAAAAAAAAAAAAAACTCCTTACCTTAATGCACGACTGAGTTTCTCATAGTTCATTGTAGGTTTGTTTTTACGTTGTCCCCATTTTTGTGCAACCAGTTCTGGCTGATTTAGCTTAAACTCGCCTTCATCACCAACCCAAGAAATACAGTCTCGAGCATCCTTGTCAGTGAGTAGCTCTAACAAAAACTGCCACAGTTGGATTTGGCCATTGTTTCCTGAGTTGACAAGAAAGACAAGCATGACAACAGTGTTATGAATTAAGAGGGAAAAAAGGAACAGGTTCTCTCCTATCACTCATATCTTAGCTGTGCTAAAGATACAAATGTTTTTTACAAATGTCTAAGCATTGCCAGAAAAAACAGTCCATATTTGCATTTTTGTACAGTGAAATTAAACAAAATATAATTTGAAAAAACTTACAAATACCAGATGATAATGCAGAAATACCTGTTCTGTTCCCAGGTGAACTTCTATCTTCTCCTGAAATCCTTGGAGCTCTTTGCACTTTAGCTGCCTTTGCACTACTATTTATAAGTTTCATGGTAGTTGGTGTAGCAGACTGTACTGATGCTGGGATAATTTGCACAGCTGTAAAGACAGAGGGAAAGGTTTTATCCTTCCAATACCACCAGTGGAAAAATATTACTAAATGACATAAAATGCAATTAGTTTAACTAATGCCCCTCTAATTAACACATGGTCTCACTTCAAAAAAGCCTTAATCCACAAGTCTTGAACAAAATCACAAAAAAGGTCAGAGGATAAGTACGATATATTTGTAACATAGTTTGTGACTTTTAATGAAAAGTTGGTCTCCTTACTTTCTTTTTTTTTTTTTTTTTTTTTTTTAAAGATTTATTTATTTATTTATTTATTTATTCATACAAGCACTGGGTACAGTCAGAAGCGCGGGAGGGTGAGCGAATTCACCAGAGCCAGAGCGGGGAGCAGAGCAGGCAGAAGGACCGAAGTACACTGCTGAGGGGAGCAGCGGGCGGCAGGAGAGGTCTGCGCGTCATGTGGGACCCTCCTCTGGTGGCCGGGGAGCAGCCGGGGATCGAACCGGCTCTGCAGAGGCTGCGGGCAGCTTCGCAACCCAGCGCTCAACCGCTGTGCCACCAGGGAGGCCCTGGTCTCCTTACTTTCGATTAACTTAGCGGCATATGTACCAAACAAAGAACTAATGAAAAGTTCTACTACTGATGGAAGTTCAACCTTATACCACCACTTTGAGAAAAACCTTGGTATTTACCTAGTAAAGGTGAAAGAGTAGAAACCCTATGACACTCAACCAGAGAATCTAACACACATTCTTTACTCATTCAATGATATTCGCAAAGTTTTAACATTAATAAACAGCAGTGAAATAAAATGATGGCACTGCAAGTATTAATATGAATCTCATGTTAACTGTTAAAGGTTAAGGAAGGATGTGCACAGTATATTATTTTACCAAACAGTTTAAACATGTGCAAAACAAAAACATATTGTAAAGTGCTTATGGTTAGTTGGTAAAAATATCAAATATGCATAGAGTAATAAACATTAAATCCAGTATGGTCATTTAAAATGGGATCTGGGCCTCCCCCATGGCGCAACGGGTTGAGTGCAGCGCTCTGAAGCTGTCCTCAGCCTCTGCAGCAACGGTTCAATTCCCGGCTGGCCAGGGAGATTCCCACATGGCTAGGCAGACCTCTCCTGCTGCGCCTGCTGCTCCCCTCAGCAGTGTACTTTGGTTCTTCTGCCTGTTCTGCTCCCTGCTCTGTCTCGGGTGAATTCTCTCACCCTCCCGTGCATCTGGTCTGTACCCCAGTGCTTGTCTGAATAAACAAATCTTTAAAAAAAAAAAAAAGGGATCTACAACAGGTAAACCTGATGCATAAAATTTTATTTCTTCATAGTATGCACAGATGCTAGTTAACCTTAATTCTTGTATATCTAAAAGACTTTATTAAAATTAAAAAACTGGTTTTCCTTTTTACTACCTGGCAGTACAAAACAGATTTCTTATTGATAAATGAGCCAAATTATGATCATGAATACTCACGTTGATCAATTGTAACTATCTCATTCATCTGTTGTTCCTGGCTTGCCAATACATCTGAAGAACATATAAAAATCTGTTAATATTTAAAACCCAAAATGCAAACCCCAATCCAATAAACCAATAACTCCAGTAATTATAATCCTTTAAAAAGGAATTCTACAGGAAAAAAAAAATAAAAAGGAACTCCACAATTAAAACAAAAACCAAATAAATAGCTAAACATTAAACAACTGAAACACACTGACATAACCTAAAAACACGTTATAGCTTACTTTATAAGGAAAAAATATATCAAGGAAAAGCTCCCATTTTTTAAGTGTTCAGTAAAGTTATTGAGAGAACCATGGTTTTCTAAACATAAGTATTTATATTTAGTATATATAAACCATGTAAAACAGGGAAATCTTGAAGATTAGATCAAAATGAGCACAGTACTGAAATTTAGATATACATTCTTCACTCTCAAGGGAAAGGCTCCCTCTCAAGATCATTTAAAAGATTTTCAAAATCTAATCTGTTCAACATTCATCTTTGAATAAAATTGCTTTAATTTATATAAATGTTCCTTTTTAACACTAACATTTTCACTAAAATTGTAGCCACCCTAAATGTCACAAATTAACAAAATAATTTAGCATGTCTACATACGTAGCTCTTAACAAGATCGACAATGTAGGTGGTCCTGATAGACCCCCGTAAAGAACCAGTCATTACTCATCCGTTGCTATTCCCCACCCATCCTATTCTTCACCTCTCTAACAGGAGTTGCCCTTCCCAGTCTTGATCTATTTAGTGCCCATCGGAGACTGAATGCTTCTCTCTTGAATTGTACCCACCAGCAATCAAACCAGTCTTGGAGCCTCGGCTCCCAACGTGGGTCTCCTTAAGGTGCCAGACCAGCAGGGTCAGACACATGGAGTGGGAAAGGACTGGGGAACTAAAACAAAATCCAAATCCCACCTATCAGATGGGGTTTTTTTGGGAGTCCTGAGCTGGGGAAGGGGGAGTTTAAACAACTACATGGGACAAGCTTCAGATAGATCTGGGTTGTGAGCTTAGCATTCAGTCACTGGTGTGACTTTGGTAAGTTATTCCATACATTAGTTTCTTCATGTTTAAATGAGGTATTTTCACCTACCATCACAAGAGGCTGTTGTGAGGATAAAAGGAAAATACTTTGAAGAAGCACAGTGTCTGAAAATAGTTAACTTTTCAGTAAATTCAAGATGCTAGTCTATTATTTCATCCAAAGCCTAGTTTTTAGCATTCTTTCCCAAGAATCTCTCTCTTGAAGAAACATCCATGCCTTACATTGTGGTAGATTTTCTGCAAAATTTTGTAAGTGCCTTGAAGAGGCAAAGTGATATTCAAATTGAAATGTTTCCATTTATGACTATAAATGAAAAAGCCAGTGACTAGCCTAAAAAGAGGCAAGAGTGTTTCCATCACACTGCACAGGCCTGACCAAACACTGAAAGATCAGCTTCTAAGCCCTTCTTTCCTGAATGGTTTGGTCTCTTTCCTGGGAAGTCAAGATAGAAGGCACAACACAGAAACCAAGATTTTTGAAAGTTTGGTTTAAGACCACATAGCAGTCGTCAAAGTCCTCTGGAGTTTCAACTCCTGGCCATGCATAAAGGAAGCAGAATCCAAAGAGGCAAAGCTCTGAGGGATAGTGGAGCCATTTTATGAAGAAACTTCAGACACTACATGTATAGCAACTCTTTTTCCTACAAATGCCCTTAGCAAATGGAGACCTTTGTCATTTTTGACTCTGAAAGTCAGATATTCACACCAATAAGCACATCAGAGCTGGAAGTACTGGAACATTTCCTAATAACCTTTCCCATGTGTAGAATTTGGATGAAATATCAAGACAAGGGGATTTCAGGAGAACTCTGGTGGGTAATCTAACATAAATATCTGAAGCTCACCTGTTCAGTAGCGTTTTGTGAAAGATCATTGAGGAGGAATGGACTGCGGATGCTAGGTGAGTAAGTGCCTTTCAAATAAGCTGTAGATTTCACTATACAAGAGGGGCCAGAGAACTAGACTGATTTCAAAAGAGCCTGTTCTGACAAGAGAAGCTTGTGAATTAAAGAAAGTCTGCCAGAAATAGCCTTATACATCATCCTGCCCACTCCTAAACGAAATCTTAGATTCCCAAACCAGATGGGATTTCCTTGCTAAGGCAGAGCAAGAGAATCAGGGCTGAACAGGCAGGGAATTCCTACTCTAGGCTGTGGGGTTTTGTTTCTTTTGAGAACAAAACAATTCCAGAGCAGAGCTTTTCTGAAGAAGACCCAATCTACCACATGGCCATGGAAAGACACATAAGACTCACCTCCCCTCAGTACAAGGAAAAGTCTCTGAATGAGCTTTAAAGTGTGAGAAGCATTAGGAGAACCAGAAAGAGACAACTACCACGCAAGTGTTGACCTGACAGACAGTGAAAACCATGAACTGTGGAAAAATAAACTGCACTGTCCTTGTTCTATTCTTGAGTTCCTATAAGAAAATGTTTCAGTAAACATGACTCACATGTTAAAAACCTGAAACAATTCAGAATTTACCTTATTCATCTGAAAAGCTCTGCAGAGAAGAAACCTGTGAAACCAAGGACAAACCTTTACCCAGAACATTCAACTTATTTTATCTAACATGACCTGAAACTGGAAATAAACCCTGTGAAGGGAATGAGAGTAATAATAACTTTAGTGTCCTCCAGTGTCATAGATAACTTCCCCCCTCCCTAAAATTTAAGATAATTCATACAGGAAAGAAACTACAGATATAAGTCATGAAGGAAAGCTCTCTCCAGAGCTCATTTCTTATCCAACAGCAGAGAATGTTCCCTGGAAGAGAACCCTAAGCATTTATAAATGACTGCAGAAAATCTCTCCACCAAGCTGTCCCCTTACTGGGTACTGCCAGTTACATTTTCATCCATAACCATTACAAAAGCAGAGTTTGTCCTGTTCACATATTCTGAAAAATATGTAGATGTAGGTCTGGCTAGCTTTTCTCATTTAAATCTCAGTGTTAGGGAATGAGTGACCACTAAAATAGTCTTAGTTACTAAAAAACAAGGTGGATTAAAACTCAAACATAATAATTTAAGGTTTTTTTTTTTTTTTTTTTTTTTTTTTTAAAGACAGCCAGCCCTTTCTCATTTCTGCATAGTCAATAATAATAATGTCCTTGGGATAGCATGGGAAAGTAGTAACCAGTGGCTTCCAATTCAAGATGGTGGACGGCATACTTATACTTCACCTTTCTCTCTTAAGACACCATTCAATTAAAAGAAGTTTAAAAAGTTTAACACTCTCACAATGAAAATGAGAGGGAAGCCATCTGTGAACAGCCTTAAATTTCTATAAGATGAGCAATAAATGGATGAACTAAGTGAGAAAACAGAAGTCAATGACTAGAATATATGAAAAGAGCTACGTGTAGAGCACAGCTTCTCACTTAAGACCTCAGGTTCTGGAATTAATTAGCCTGGGTTTGGATCCTGCTTCTGTGACCTTGTGGGACACTCTAAGTCTCAGCTTCCTATCTAAAAAATAAGGAAAGTAATGACTTGTGGCATTAATACAAAGGATTAAATAATATAATACATGTATAATTCCCAGCATAGTCTTATACAGCTTAGTATTAATTATTATTGCTATTACCAATGAATAATTAAGATGAAAACAAAGTTATAAAGAAATAAAATTAAAGAGTAATATGCAAATAGATAATAACTTCAATTTTATACATTTTCGAAGAAGCTCCAGATGACTCCAAAGGATTTCTCCCCGAGGCACCCGCTGAAAAAAATCTTCTTGGTTGAGACTACATAACTCTCTTCCTGAAATATTGAGGGTGGTGAGGTCTATATCAGTCATGCTGAATTCCTTCATTACCCAAACCACCCAGTGCAGGACCTGGTCTGTGGACCACTGTATAGGATCTTAAAAAAAAAAAACAAAAAAACAAAAAACCATTAGCCAAGTTCCATCTTAGACATTAAGTCATTTACAGTTAACTTACCATCCACATAAACATATATATATACATACATAAAATCCAGACAGGTTTTTTCCCCAAGCAAGTGAGGAATATAGAAAGAGCTATGACCTAAAATATGTATCAGGGAGGATGCCAGTAACAAGTGAGAGTATGCCATCTTAATGGCTCAGATTGTGCTGGATTCAGGGAGCCGGGAAAGGTTTATGTGGATGCTGACGGCACTTATTTAAAATAAACAGTATGGGCCTCCCCGGTGGCACAGCGGTTGAGCGCTGGGTTGCGAGGCTGCCCGTAGCCTCTACAGCGCCGGTTCGATCCCCGGCTGCTCCCCGGCCACTAGAGGAGGGTCCCGCGTGGCGCGCAGACCTCTCCTGCCGCCCGCTGCTCCCCTCAGCAGTGTACTTTGGTCCTTCTGCCTGCTCTGCTCCCCGCTCTGGCTCTGGTGAATTCTCTCACCCTCCCGTGCTTCTGACTGTACCCAGTGCTTGTATAAACAAACAAACAAATAAATAAATAAATCTTTAGAAAATAAATATATAAATAAAGTATACAGTATGGGCCTCCCCGGTGGCGCAGCGGTTGAGCGCTGGGTTACAAAGCTGCCTGAAAACCTCTGAAGCGCCGGCTCGATCCCTGGCCACTGGGTGAGGGTCCTACATGGCGCACAGACCTCTCCTGCTGCCCGCTGCTCCCCTCAGCAGTGTACTTCATCACTCTGCCTGTTCTGCTCTCCGCTCTCCGCTCTGAAATTCTCTCACCCTCCCGTACTTCTGACTATATCCAGTGCTTGTATAAATAAATAAATAAATCTTTAAAATAAATAGATAGATAAACAAGCAAATAAATAAATGAATGAATGAATGAATAAATAAATAAATAAAGTATACAGTATGAATTAGAACCTCTGGGGTCTGTAAAATATTACTCCTGGGCCTCCCTGATGGTGCAGCGGTTGAGCACTGAGTTGTGAAGCTGCCCACAGCCTCTGCAGCGCCAGTTCGATCCCCGGCTGCTCCCCGGCCACGGGAGGAGGGTCCTACATGGCGCGCAGACCTCTCCTGCTACCCACTGCTCCCCTCAGCAGTGTATCGTCAGTCTGCCTGTTCTACTCTCTGCTCTGGCTCTGGTGAACTCTCTCACCCTCCTGCGCTTCTGACTGTACCCAGTGCTTATATGAATAAATAAATAAATAAATCCTTAAAAAAAAAAAAAAAAAAGCCATGAAACACAGATTTAAAAATATATATATATATATCTCCTAACATTTTTGTTTCTTTCTGTCCTAAACATTTCTCCTCATGAGATGACTCCAAACTTACTAATGTCAAGAAGATCGCCCATCTAGCTTCCACGTTTCAAAAATAAGTAATTCAATATTCTGAACCATTCCGAGGAGCAGCTATATATTCTCCTTCACAGTGAGCTCTTCTATCTTGTCATGATCCAATGAACAACCACTCTCTTTCGCTTCTTTAATCCGCCCCTTCTCCTGCCAGTTTCACACCATTTTATCCACAAATACACCACCAGCCCTTGACCCTTCAACATTGTTTCTTTATTGTCCCAACACTCTTCCCCCTGCCCCCCATCAAAGTTACCATTTAGTTTTCCCCATTTCTATAAGATCTACTCATTTCTTCTAATTCAGCTATCTCTCCAACTCCACAGCTACTTTCATCTAAATCTACCCATGAGTCTCTGACTGCCACATTTAATAGATATTGCTCAGTCGGCAGTCTTTGACTCTCTCAGCACTGGGACTTAGGACCATCTAAAACTCTCAATTTCAGTGACAGTATACGCTGTTCTTAGTTCCCTCTTCTCTCTTCAACAGTATACGCTGTTCTTAGTTCCCTCTTCTCTCTTCAACTTTTCCATGTTCTCTTCCTTTTCTTCAACCCTAAATGCTTACAAGGTCCAGGAACCAGTCTTTTATGTTGCATTCTTTTCCATTTTCTCTCTCTTCATCAGAGAACACAGATACTGTCTTGGTTATTCAAAATCAATTTGAGGACCAGAAAACATCTTGTCTGCAGTCTAAATCTTGGTGACCTTGAAACTATTTTCTGACTATCTCCAGTTAAATATGTACTAATACTCCAAAATCAAGTACTATTAGCACTTTTCCTTGAAAAATCTTTCCAATACCAGGCACCCCTACTTTTCCAACTAAGTTTTAGAAGGCATGAATTGTCTGTCATTCACACCACTGATAACAAGGTACCTGGCATATGCAGTCCACTAAATACGTAATGATGCTATAGTCAATTCTTATCAATATTATTATTGCCCTAGTAACCCAAATTTGAGAAGTCAGATCAATACCTAAATTTCCTTTCTAATTACACATAATCCATCAATTAGTTGTTTGCTCTCATCCCTGTTTTCATTCATTACTTTCCATAAATATCACCCTGACTAGGTTAACCTTGACACTGCCACCCAGTCATACTTAAACTACAATAATTAAGATCTTGTTTATCTTTCCTTTAGTCTCTACTTGCTCTAATGTATACCACATACCACATTTATTTTCCATCGCCATTTCTATAATGATAAACCATTCTAGAATGCTAGAGAATAACTCTTTACCCACTAAATCTTACTGGTCAAGTACATTCCTCCTACTTGTAAGCTTTGCCTGCATATTTTCTGGAATCTCTTCCTCTGTCCAATCGCTTGGCTATAGTAAGCCCTTCCCCAATGTCCCCTAAGGCCACTATGATCTCTCGGAGATTCTAATAGCAGGTTTCCTGCATACAAGTTAATGGCACTTTAAAAACATGTACCTTTTATGGCAATTATCTCTTTTCTCTATCTTCCCCCCCTGCTACACTGTAAATAGCCCAAGGACAGTTATTTTATTTTTAATTTCTTGGTTATCCCCAGATCCATGACACCATTTATCCATCATGTACATTACAGTCCTTCTACCCAACAAAAGATACAGAAAATTAACATTTTTTCTAAAAATTCTACATATAAAAGAAGTAACTTATTCACTCTAGTATTTTCTATGCCGAATTCAATTCTTATTATTCCACCTAACAAGCAATTATGTAGAATATGTAATTATGTGTTTTATTACCGTAGGGTATCCCAAGGCGTTCCTGCTCTTTCCTATAACCTTCTAGGGCGGCAGCCCATCTTGTCACTTGTTCTGAGGTTTCATCTGAGATGGTTGTAATGTGTTTTGTGCCATCAAGAGTAATCACTTGAGCTTCCTCAACAAGATGTGCTTCTGCTTCAGCATGGTGGGCATCTGGATCAATAACTACTTCAACTGTTTCCGCAGGTTTAACAATTTCAAGGATGTTTAACTTTGGCTCAATTCCTTAGCAGTGAATTAAAAAACAAAAGTAAACATAAATGAAAATAACTGAAAAATAAAATTTTACTTAGCTTGTGTATTCTCAAATGATAGAACAAGCTCCATTTAAAATATTTTTATCAGTATGTCTAAAGAATTAACAGACTCCTATTAAATGATAAGCAGACTAGTTTAACAGAACATTGGTGGATAAATTGACAGTATTGTGTCACTATTAATTTCCTGATTTTGATGACTGTGCTATGGTCATGTAAAAGAACTCCTTGTTATTAGAAAACACATGCTGACAGGGCCTCCCCAGTGGCGCAGCAGTTGAGCGCTAGGTTGCGAGGCTGCCCGCAGCCTCTGCAGTGCCTGTTAGATCCCCAGCCGCCGGGCGAGGGTCCCACATGGCCATGGCGTGCAGACCTCTCCTGCTGCCTGCTGCTCCCCTTAGTGTATTTCATCCGTATGTCTGTTCTGCTCCCCGCTCTGGCTCTGGTGAATTCTCTCACCCTCCCGCGCTTCTGACTGGACCCAGTGCTTGTATAAATCAATCAATCAATCAATCAATCAATCAATCTTGGGGGGGGGGGAACGGAACACATGCTGACATATTTAGGGATAGAAGATGATTATTTTGGCAATTAATTCTTTAATATACAAAAAAAAGTTGAGAACAGAGAATAAAGCAAATATAATGAAAGTTAACATCTGGGCAGTCTGAGTGAAGGATATCCAGGAATCTTTTACTACTCTTGCAACTCTTCTCTAAGTCTAATTTAAAAACTACCCCACCCCTAACACACACCTACCTATAAACATTTGAAAAACAGTACCAACATGGAATAGAAAATAGAAGTTAGACTAGGAAGTGCATCATTAGATAGCTACCCAGCCTCAAGACTTTAAAAAAGTCCTTCTAAGCAAATTAAACTACTTACTGACTGCTTTCTCCTTTTTAAAAGGCAAGGTACATGTCTAACAAATGAAGATACTGAGTCTGTTAAATTCACACCAAAAAATTCTTATTTTCATTTTCAAGTGAATGAAAACCCAATTCGTTAAGATACCCAAAAAAGAATAAACAATTTAAGAAACAACTTCAGATACTTCTATTAAGATGACAGCTCTAAGAAACAATTATAGTACTTAACAGTTACTGTTTGCTCATTGATTTGGTTAATCTAGATCAAATTTAACCAAAATGCTGTTGAAGAAAAAGCAAAACTCAACTGCAACCATCCATGAAAAACTAACATATTATAAAGAAATGTATCATTATTCATTAGTGTAAAAACAAAACATTTTTTAAAAATATACAAATGACCTTTAGGGGTCTCCCTGGTGGCACAAGGAGTTAAGACGCAACCTAAGAAGCTATCCGCAGCCACTGCAGCATGAGTTTGATCCCCAGCCAGGGAGCTACCCACATGGTACAACAGACCTCTCCTGACTCACCTGCTGTTCCCCTTAGCAATGTATTTCAGTCACTCTGCCTGTTCTGTTCCCCACTCTGTCTCTGGTGAAACCTCTAACCCCCACACCTCTGGCCTGTACCCCAGCTCTTGTATGCATGAATAAATAAATCTTTGGGAAAAAAAATACATGGGTTTGACTGTGTGGCTCCAACTATACTTGGATTTTTTTCTAGCTTTGGGTTCCACATTCATAGATTCAACCAACTGCAGAAGTCAGGGTGGGAGTAGGGATGTCAGTGCTCCTAACACTCCTTGTTCAAAGATCAACTGTACATGAATAAAATAATCAGAATTTTTGAAAAAGCTTTTTCCTAAAATTTATTCCTTAGCCTTTCAGTCGAATTTCATCAAGTCTACTCTTCCTAAACAGACTTTCATGGAGCAATTAAGCAACATAGGTTTAGAGATTAAAATCAGTCTAAAACGCTGTTTAGAAATCCCAACCAGCCACATTTTAAAAACTAAAATTCAACCCACCAAAAAACTGTTCCCTAATTTTCTTTCTCATACACTTACACAGGATTAGTAAAATACTGTGACTGATAAGACCGACTGGGTACTCAACATACTTTGCAAATGCCTCTGTGTACTAAAGAAGCTAGATTCTATGTAGCTAGGGTTTCAGATGCAATTTTGGCTCTAGAATCATTTGATATGAGCTTCTATTTAAAAATGCGTTAGGAGGTGACAAAAGGGCACATGGCGGGCCTCCTCTGGTGGCGCAGGCGGTTGAGCGCCGCGCTGTGAAGCTGTCCACAGCCTCTGCAGTGCCAGTTTGATCCCCAGCCACTGGCGAGGGTCCCACATGGCGCTGCAGACTTCTCCTGTCTTGCCCGCTGCTCCCCTCAGCAGTATATTTCAGTCAGTCTGCCTGTTCTGTTCCCTGCTCTGTCTCTGGTGAATCTTCTCACCCTCCCGCACATCTGGCCTGTACCCTGGTTCTTGTATAAATAAAATAAATAAATCTTTAAAAAAAAAAAAAAAGGCACATGGCATCTATTCTGCTAGTGTGTTCATTGTAAACGCAGTGTAGTTCTAAGCTGACAGCTACAGCAGTGTCTCGGATTTGGCATTTTCCAGAGCATTGCAGGGCAGCACCTTCTTTGGCAGTCTAGTTCGCAGTGCGGCTGAGGCATTCTTAGAAAGTCAACTAGATACTGTTCTTGCAGCCTTCTCTGTGATTCTGTTATTTACTGTAATGTTTATTATTGTGTAATATACACCTTCCTCTTTAAACTCAAAAAGATGTGTTCTACTACCCGCTTCACCTTGACAGATGCAATAATTAAACCAAAAGCATGGATATTTGGTTATAACATCACAGTAAGTAATTCAAACATCTGCAATACTGAAAATTTATAAAATTGAGTTCCCATATTAGAAAAACATGAGCTAAACTTTTAAATAACTACACTGAAAGTAACTTACCTTGGTAAGAAATTACCTGTACACTAAGCTGTACAGTTCCATCTGTCTTTACTCCTTGGTCAAACAAACTTCGCTCTGGATCCAGCTAAACATGGGTAAAATGGGTAACGTTATTTTAATGCAATCATTTCGCTTAAAATAAATGGATGTATAAATAAGACTTAATTGATGAGGGATAGTAATTATAAAAATTTAATTATCCAAGTTGTCATATTCAAATATTTGCCAAAGCTGAAAATATTTTAGCCACTATGGTAGTAATTAAAGAAAACATAAACAACTGAGTTTAAGTGGTGGTTTTCTCTAGCTGTGATTTCTCTGCAGTCTAGAACTTTAAATAATGCCAAAAATCAACTGTTCATTCTATAAATATATTTAAAGTAGAAGAGAATGCAATCTATCTGTCATAAATATGCAAGGCTTAATTAGTGAGGAAAATTTATATACATATACTAACATAATTTTTTTTCCTATTTCCCTGGTAACCAAAGCCAAGCATTTAAGATCAGGTTAACTCTAAATCTATGATCACACAGCTGATAAAATTATAATAACTTTAAACAAATAAGGTTACGACATTACTACCTGACCTCTCAGGTACTGCATACACTAGCTAGCTCACTAAGAACTGGCAGAAGGACAAAGCTCGAGCATGGTATTTGATTCTGGGTCACACTCCTCAAAGAAGTGCAACTCAGCTGTTGCCCCATTAGCTTTCAAGTCAGCATTTACCTGAAAATACAAAAGCATTACTAAAGCAGCAAGCACTCTGACTCTAAATACACATCTGCACTAACTGCCAAGAAGGAAAGAAGTTGGTATCTGCAAACTATTTTGAGGAAAAGGGGGCAGGAAGAAAAGCAAAATAGTCCAAGATCCAAGGCTGGCTCTGAATTCTATGACACAATTAATTGTGTCTATTTCCACTTATTTAACTTTTATTAAGAACTTGTCAGGGGGTATACTTTGCAGGTCATATTTTCATTCTGTTTAGCTTAGATCAGGTATTATAAAAGAAGCAACAAATGCTAGAGTTGAAAGATTAGTTAAGAAATTAAATCCAGGGCCTCCCTGGTGGCGCGGGCAGTTGAGCGCAGCGCTGCGAAGCTGTCCACAGCCTCTGCATTGCTGGTTCGATCCCCGCTGGCTGGGGAGCTACCCACATGGCAAAGGCAGACCTCTCCTATATCGCTCGCTGCTCCCCTCAGCAGAGTATTTCAGTCAGTCTGCCTGTTCTGTTCCCCTCTCTGTCTCTGATGAATCCTCTCACCCTCCCGCTCATCTGGTCTGTACGCTGGCTCTTGTATAAATAAATCTTTAAAAAAAAAAAAAGAAATTAAATCCAGACTCCCCTTTATCTCGCATATGAGTAAAAAGTCAAGTAAATCCAGGGATGAGTTATTCTTAAAAGTCTGCTTTGGATTAGTAATGAAAGTTTCAGAGTCAAATGCCACGGCAGCCCCCTGTAAGAATGCACTGGGCAAACGATTTAAACTCTTTAAATCTCATTGTCTACATGGACAGAATGTTGATTATAAGATCCCAATTTAGAGACTAATGTAAAGATTAAATGAGGTAATTTAGAAATTTTCTGAAATTTTTTTTCATTAAATATAAATTGCCCATATATCTCTAATTCACCAATTTTGAAGGGTTGGCTTGAATTCCAATCTATGGAATTTATCTAATTTTGGAATATCTAAAATTTGGAACATTTGGAGCTACTATGCACAACCATGTAGGATTTTTGTAGAAACAATTCATTGGGTGGAACTACTATGTATTTCACATTCAATGTTGATAGCCACTACATGCCAGAGTATCTTCCAAAATGATTGTGGTAATTAATCTTCTCACAGTGGAAAGAAGAAAAATTTTATATCTTAAAATTATAATATTACCAGGCCTACCTACAACCTCTAGTTCTAGATGAGCAATAGCCTCCCACTGGAATGGCAACTAAAATGCACACATTTCATTAAAACAATTTCAACCTATTCTATATCAAAATCTTATTTAAAAATTATAGATGAACAAGATTTGAATTTTTTAAAAACTAAAACAGAAGTTCTATACTTAATGGAATAAGCTATTCCATTAATGCATTGAGGGGCGGGCACAGAATAAAACAACCCCAAAGATGACACAATTATATACTAGTGTAAGTTAATATTAAAAACTCTAGTAAGTATGTTTCAAAGTCCAGAAAATCTACCTGAGTAATCCTATCCAGTCTACTACCTTTTTACACACAAAAATGTTAATTTTCTTAAAAGAACACCGTAAAACATGACTATAAATATACTGAAAATATGATATTGTTATACTACGACCACAACTAAATTCCCATGGCAATAGACTCCAAGAAATACATACATTGGTATCTAAATTCTTATTCACAAAAAAATAATAATAAATATCAAAATCAACAGGCAACTATAAACCAGTCATTCTATAGGGGGGAGGGGGGAGTAGGATCAAAACAAGTGTGGGAAGAGCACAAGGGACTATGGTGATGGTACATGGGTGAATGGGTGGTGGAAATTTCAGAGGGACTATAACCGAGATGAGAAAGCATACACAGTACAAATATGAAGAATGATGTAAAAAATATATAAAATAAAAAATAAATACAATTCTTATCCAAAACTTCCTACTGGAACAGATAAAGGAAGGACTATAAAGATCATTTGGTCAACTAATTTGTTTTGAAAGATGAGGAAACTGATGCACAAAGAAGTTAAAAGTTAATTAGTGCTTTCCATTACCTTAAGCTTTCATTCAAATTTATTTAAACTTCCCATTTTATATTTGTGAAAATAAAAAATGTCTGATTAAGCACTCCATCTTTAATATGTAATTTTAAATGAAATTTTCCTGAATATTTTAAAATGCTTAAATTTTATAAAACAGATCAAATCTAGTTACAAAAGCTAGAGCTACACACTAAAAGACTAACAAAAATATAAACCCCACCCCCCAAAATTACCTGAATATCTTGCAAGCAAATTTCATGAGCATCCAAAGAACACTGTAGTCTTGGTTCTAGTAGTTTCTTCAAATTGCCTATTGGCTCATTGATGTCTATGGCCTGGCTTACACATTCAGCTGGGGTGTAAGTTTGTTCTACAATGCTAAATGTTAAAGAACATAATGGTTAACAAGTTTTTATCCTGTATGTTGAAAAAATAATATATTCAAAACAGAATTCAACATTAAGCATTTCTAACCTTTGAAATTAATTTCTGCACAGACATTATTCACAGTGGAAGGCTCATCACCAAATAGTTTTGACAAACAATGTTGACTTGCACAGAGCAATGTTACCTTAAAATTTATAAAGTACCCTTGCAAAAATATCTCATTATGTATATTCATATGTGTGTATACAAATATAAATGCAGCATATACAATATTTAAGATGGTATGTTCATGGTATATTTCCAAGTTACTGTGAAGATATTTTTTTGGCCTCGAAAGGACAATAGTCTACCCAAATTTAACAAATGTAATTCTTAAGATATGAAAACATGATAGATGATACTTTCTATTTAATTTAATCTGAAAACCACTAGTCATAATCAGCAAAGCATAATCATATTCTTCCTTTAAAACTCTGGTAGGACTCTTTTGTATTATTATTTCATATTTCAACTCCATGGAACAAAAAATTCCTTGGATAAAGTCTTTGGTAAGTAAGTAAAGTATCTTTTGTAAATTCTTATATGGGACCAAACAGAAGTTGCTGAATTGGTGAATCTGGAATTCAATTAAGTTTCACAATTTTAAATTTAAATATAACTTAAATTCCATTTGCAGTTGTCAAAAACAGTATGTATTAAAAATTTGTCAAGTTCTGGGCCTCCCTGGTGGCGCAAGGGGTTAAGTACAGCACTGTGAAGCTATCTGCAGCCTCTGGCCTGCCAGGGAGCTACTACCCACATGGCGCAGCAGACCTCTCCTGTCTTGCCCATCACTCCCCTCAGCAATGTATTTCAGTCAATCCACCTGTTGTGTTCCCTACTCTGTCCCTGGTGAATCCTCTCACCCCCCGCACCTCTGGCCTGTACCCCAGTTCTTGTATGCATAAATAAATCTTTAAAAAAAAATTTGTCAAGTTCCATTTTTACAGAAATTTCAAGTATGATATACAATGAAATTTATTGTGTATAACCTAAATTTCTTCAAAAAAATTAAAAATTATACAACAGACCAATTGTGATAAAAATTATTTTAAAATAATAGTGAGTTGTTACTATTTAGAGTAAAATAACTGTGTGTTTTGGCTACATATTTTTACCAAATTCTTCAGCTACACCAAAGGTTATATTCTTCTTTTTTTTTTTTTGAACAATTCTTTAATAGAACCAGATGCTACTAAAGATTTTAATTTTTTTAATTTTTTTTTTAAAGATTTATTTACTTATATAAGCACTAGGATACAGGCCAGAGGCACAGGAGGGTGAGAGAATCCACCAGAGACAGAGAAGGGAGCAGAACATGCAGAAGGACCGAAATACACTGCTGAGGGGAGCAGCGGGCGAGACAGGAAAGGTCTGCCCCAACATGTGGGATTCTCGCCAGCCACCGGGATCAAACCCATGCTGTAGAGGCTGCGGACAGCTTCACAGCGCTGCACTCAACCTCCTGCACCACCAGGGGAGGCCCTAAAGATTTTTAAAGGGCTATTTTACATAAGCTCAACATTTAACAATTTTTTAAATATTATGTTGCCACCACTGTTATCCCTTGAAAAAATGTGCACATCTCACATCTACATATTCCTGCACAACAACCTGCTACAGTTCAACAGCAACAACTGCTCCCTTTACAGCTACTGCCCAGATGACACTGTAACGACAATCTTTAACACAGGACATTTGCAAAGGCTTTCTATAAATCCCAAATAGTGAAAACATTAGGCTGTGTGGCCCATTTGTGTGTGTGTCTAATAAATACGTGTCTGTCAGGCTCCAAGATGGCCCAAATGAGCCTCATCTAACCAACATTTCATTTTTACCATTTTCTCCCTGCAGGTGGACTGAGTGTGCAAAAGACTGAGACAGAATTGGTAATACTGACTCTTAAACGATTTAAAAAGATACTGTGGGGCCTCCCCGGTGGCGCAGCGGTTGAGTGCTGGGTTGCGGGGCTGCCCGCAGCCTCTGCGGCGCTGGTTCGATCCCCGGCTGCTCCCCGGCCACGGGAGGAGGGTCCCACATGGCGCGCAGACCTCTCCTGCCGCCCACTGCTCCCCTCAGCAGTGTACTTCGGTCCTTCTGCCTGCTCTGCTCCCCGCTCTGGCTCTGGTGAATTCTCTCACCCTCCCGCGCTTCTGACTGTACCCAATGCTTGTATAAATAAATAAAAAATAAATCTTAAAAAAAAAAAAAAAAAAAAAAAAGATACTGTGGCTTCCATCCTGATGATACTCTCTGTCAGACCAATTGTGTTAGAGGAAGCCAGCAGCATATCACAAGTAGCCACAGAGAGAAGCCAATGTAGTGAAGAAGTAACTGCTCCTACACCGGACTCCCAAGTGATTTTGGAAGCAGTTACGCTAGCTCCAGTCAACTTCTTCAGATGACAGTAGCCTGGACTGACAGCTTAGCTGAAGCTCATGAACACCCTGAGCCAGAACCATCCAGCTAAATTGCTCCCAGATTCTTGACTCTGAGAAACTTTGTGCAATAAGAAGTGGCGAAGGTTTTAAGCTGCTAAATTCTGAGTCAATTTGTTACATAAATAAATAAATGACTGAATGAATGCCTGTGTGTATAGGCACACATCTGAAAATTACAATAAGCATATTGTAATTTATATACATATTTGTATATTGTAATTTATTGTAAATATTGTAATATTATAATTTATATATATACAGCTTTAATTTTGCTGAAGAAGCTAGGATAATAAAACATTGAAAAACTCTATTAAAAATCTAAGGTTTTATTTATTTATTTAAAAAGATTTATTTATTTATTTATACAAGCAGTGGGTACAGTCAGAAGCACAGGAGGGTGAGAGGATTCACCAGAGCCAGAGCAGGGAGCAGAGCAGGCAGAGTGACGAAGTACACTGCTGAGGGGAGCAGCGGGCGGCAGGAGAGCTCTGCGTGCCAAGTGGGACCCTCGTCGGTGGGTGGCCGGGGAACAAACCGGTGCTGCAGAGGCTGCAGACAGCTTCGCAGTGGCTGCCCTATTCAACTTTAGTAATACTGTCCTTTCCCAATGCAAATGTTACAAGTCTGTTACTCTCAGAAGACCTCTACTATGACTTAGTACCTTTTTATTTTCTGCATATTATCTCATCTCTTGCTTTATACAGCAAAGTATGGACTGTTAGTCATTACCTTCCACAAACTTCCTCTTGACTCTCACATCTTGATTAGTACATATTCTCTCCCTGGATTCTGAACTCATTACCACTGCCTATTAACACCCTGTCACTGTACGATATGTTTAGCACTGTGCATATAATTGCTGATGCCTGTATGTCTCCTCAAATACAATGTGGTCTCTCCAAGGTGGGTTCTATCACATTTATTCATGTGTTGCGACAGTTATTAGTTGATATCAATTACAGTATTTGCTAAATTAATTCAGGTTGTGAAGTAAATTCTTTCTTAAACAAAAGTAATGGAAAAGAAACAGAATCAAACAGCACTCTAGGATTAAGGACCACCACAATCAATTACATGATCACTTTCAGCTGTGATCATTACTTTTTGTTTAAATTGCCACCTAGTTATACACATAGTTAAGTCAGGGCCTGCCCGGGTGGCGCAGCGGTTGAGCACTGGGTTGCGAAGCTGCCCACAGCCTCTGCAGCACCAGTTCGATCCCCGGCCTCTGGCGAGAGTCCCACATGGCATGCAGACCTCTCCTGCCACACCCGCTGCTCCCCTGAGCAGTGTACTTCATCGTTCTGCCTGTTCTGTTCCCCGCTCTGGCTCTGGTGAATTCTCTCACCCTCTCGCGCTTCTGACTGTACCCAGTGCTTGTATAAATAAATCTTTAAAAAAAAAAAAAAAAACTTATAAAAAAAAAAACACAGTTAAGTCAAAGGAAATAAGCAGTGCATTATCCCCCAAAATGCTGAGGCTAGTTAAAAAACAAAACAAGAGGTCTCAAAAGAACAATAGCTTGATTCTTCCTTTTAATTAGGTATGCTGATAATATGAAAAGTAAATTTAGAAACACCAACCTTTCCTCTGTGCACTCTGGTTTCTCTGTTCCATCAATCTCGATTTCTATGAGCTCCTCTGCTTCTCTTTTCGTCATGGTTGAAAGTATTTCAAAAGCTCAGTCCTAAAAGAGTTAAATTTTAAGACATTTTTGAAATTACCTGTATAAATAGAAATGCACAAGAAGCAGACATTCAAATAAAAGCAGAGAAAAATAAGTAAATCAAAGCAAATAAGTAAAAGAGGTGATCTTCACATACAAAAGAAAATCCACAAATGCTATTTATAAAGTAATTTTTGTTTAAATGGCATTGATTAACCTGATAAACACGTCTTCATTTCACTGATTTACTGGGATGTTTTTCTGATTAATCTCAGTTAATAAGTTAATTCAAATTACCTCAAACTCAAGTAAAAGGTGATGTTAACTGGATTATAGCAACTCAGTGTTAACATATTCAAACTTGCAGCTTAAAAAAAAACATGGAAATTAACCGTAATTGTCAGCTAAAAGCTGTACTTTATTAGCAGAACTCATTGCAAAGCACTGTACATTATGCCTTCAAAATCCACAGGGGAGTGGTTCCAGAATCATATTCAAGTCCTTAACATTGAATAGTGTAGTATTTGCAAATAACTTATACACATCCTCCTGTATACATTATTTCTAGATTATTTACAATACTAACAAAATAAATGTTTTATAAGTAGTTGTCATACAGTATCGTTCAGGAAATGACAAAGAAAAAAGTGTGTACATGTTCAGTATAGATACTACTGCATAATAGTATGGTGATTAGTTGAATTCTTGGATGAGGAAGTTGGCAGATGGAGGACCAACTGTACTGATCAAGTAATACAATTAATTGGTTAGAAATCTGTCTACAAACTATCTTAAAAATGCCAGCACAATATTCTGAAACAGTCAAATAAAGTAACAAAATCACTACAAATATGCACATTACTGCCCTGATTACACACTAGACTTCTGTGATTCATTTTCTCAAGTATGATTTTTTTGTATGTTTTAAACAAACCACTATTTTAGCTTTTAATTTTCTCATGCACGATGATTACTTGGCTACTATAAACTATCACTGATACAAAACCATAATTTTTTAAATGCTAAGTCATATATAAGCTAACTGCATGTTATTGGTATTTCTTTGTGACCATCTCTGAGGTTAAGTTCCAAGTTGTTAACTATCTCACTATAGGTAGGTCAATGTATTTTTCTTTGAACATCAAATATAGTCTCAGTCCAGAGTTTTCTAATCTACTGTCAATCTAAAAGTAATAGCTAAATACTCTGACTCTGATTTGTAAGGAACGGACCTCTAAATGCAGCATTCCAATATTTGCAAAGACGTCTATATTCCCACTTAGAAGACTTGAAAAAACAAAGAATTAACAACCATTATTTGTCCAGCACTGCATTCAAATGCTTTAGTCTTTACCAGAGAACAATCTTACTTTGAGCCCATCGTCACATGCACACTCTCCGAAGGTGAGGTGACGCTGCCTGTGGCTCCATGTCACATGCCAGGTGCACTAACTGAAGGATACAGTATCCTAAGTATGTCTGACTATGGTTTATTCAAAGACAGGCTCCATAGAGCAGCATCTGCTGGTACAAGAGCACCACGAAGGCTGGCCTGGAATACCGCCACAGCCTCCTCCCCGCAGGGTTTCCTTTGTGGGTGCCCTTGCCCGGACAGGCTATTCTCCGTCAGTACAGCAAGTGTGATCCTTTTTTCACAGCACTTGTTTAACTGATTAATCACAACAAAATAAAATGTAAAGAATTCACAATGGTCAAAAAGTCCTATCTACCCCCATCCCACCCCATTACTGTTCTGACTCCTTCCAAACTGACCTTCTTGCTAGTCCTTGGATCTTCCTGGCCCATGGCTTTGCTTTTGCTGTGTAGCTGGCTCTGTACCGACTCCCCCCAGATGTCTGCTTAGCTAAATCCCTCCCTTCTCTGATGTCTACTCAAACCTCGTTTTCTCCATTAGATACAGTTCTTCCTTGACCGATAATGGCCTAAAAGACCATGAGTAGTTAAAACAGCGTATGTTGAAAATGCGTGTAAGACACCAAACCCACGGAACACAGGCTAACCTGGCCTACCTTAGACATGTTCAGAGCACTTAGATTTCACACAAGTCTACTTTTAAAAGTACTGAATATCTCCTGTAACTTATTGAATACTGTGCTAGAAATGGAAAACAGACTGCTGGGCTCACTGCCACTGCCCAGCATCACGACAGCATCACAATGCATATTGCTAGCCTGAGAAAAGATCAAAATTCAAAGTATGATTTCTCCTTAATGAGGACAGCTTCAGTACCATTGCAAGGTTGAAAAACCATCTAAACTCAACTATTAGTTTAGGGATTATCTATACTCTGACTACCCCATTTAATTCTATAATCTGTCTCCTCTATTCTTCCTTCTTCTCCACAGCCCTTGTCCTCTAACACACTATTTCATTTGTTCACTAGATTTATTCTTTCTTCCTCTTCCTCTTGGATCATCATCCAAGTGTAAAGACTAAAATTGTTCAAAAGTGACTTAAGGAATTTAAGTTGGTTTGTCTGGCCTTGGGACTGTCCTAGCTTCTTAAAGTGGGAAGGGTTTTACACATGTAGAGCAATTTCATTTCCACAAGGGCAGGGGCATTTGTTTACAGACTTATACAAAGTATTGTGAACAGTCTTTCACCCTTAGTAGGTACTCTCTTAGTATGTGCTGAATAAACGTTACAAGAACTATTACTACACACCATATATAATTGACTCTAGATGTCTGAAAGGTTTACATTTCAAAGGGTAAAGCTGAAAAAAGAAAATGGTGATACTTTGTAGCCCAAGGATAGAAAAGAATTTCTTAAATAAAATTCCCAAAACACAAGGAAAAATGATGGATTACATAAAAAATTAAGATTTATGTTCAATGACAGGCTACAGAGCAGAAAAGGATATTTCCAATAACCAAAAGTGACAAGGCACTAATGATTAGAATACAAAATAAATTCCCAAAAGATGGTAACAACTCACCCTCACCTCCCCAAATCAAGCATTAGAAAAGCAGGTTAAAGATAGGAAAAGGTACTTCACATAAAGGGAAACCAAAATGACCAACAACATGAAGAAATGCTCAAATTTAAGTCATTCAAAAATGCAATTTAAAAATAAGGAACTACCACTTTATTCCCTACGTGTATATGTGGCAAATTAATAAGGACATGGAAATATAAGAATCCTCTGCCTCTCTTGATGGGGTATAGGCAGGTCTAGCTATACTAGAGAAAAATCTAGCTGCACTTGTTCAAATCAGGAGGCATATACCTATGACCCAACAATCTTGAACTGAGATAAACATTCCAGAAACATGTGACTACTATCAACATTTTATCCTATTATCAAGACTCACTTTGATTACAGGATGCTAAGGCCAGTTTTGCAGTGATCATTGGAAGCTGAAGCCTGCATAAGTACCCCAGGTAAGAAAATATCTCAGAAAATGTAAAGGTGCGTACACTAAGGAACTTTAGGAGCAGCTAACAGCAAGGAGATAGGGCCTCCCTGGTGGTGCAAGGGGTTAAGCACCACACTATGAAGCAATCCGCAGCCTCTGCAGCATGAGTTCGATTCCTGGCCGGCCAGGGAGAAACCCACATGGCGAAGCCGACCTCTCCTGTCTCGCCCGCTGCTCCCCTCAGCAGTGTGTTTCAATCAGCCTGCCTGTTCTGTTCCCCACCCTGTCTCTGGTGAGTCCTCTCATGCGCCCCCCCAGCCTCCGCATCTCTGGCCAGTACCCCAGTTCTTGTACGCATAAATAAATGAATCTTTAAAAACAATACCAAGGAGATAATACATACACATAGGGAATACACACACACACACACAAAATGTAAAATGTATACAGTGGGGGAAAAAAAGAAACAGAACAATGCTTATAGAATAACACTTTAAAAGATATTTTATTTTCAGGGCTTACACTGATGTTAAGTATAGACAATCCCATCTCCATAATCTATTTCTATTTTTTTTTTAAAAATTAGAAAAACATGAATTTTCTAGGGACTTTGGAAAAACAGAAAGGCTAATGAGGAAGCAGGTGAGAGCGGTCATAAAGGTTTGAAAGGTTTATCTGAGGTTTCCTTTAATATAGGCAGTAAAATTGAGACTTCTCAAATGTACTGTCATTTTCTCCCAAGATTTAAATATCAATCCTTAGAGGGTGCCAAATAAAGAAAAAAAAAATAAACCCCATATACTTCTTGAGGAAATAATCACTCATAGTCTCTGCATTGATAGATCTTTCTCTTTCAGTTCTCTAAATTTAGCCTAGAGAAGCAAAGGAGATGTAGGTAAATTTAGCCTAGAGAAGAAATGGAGAGGGGTGGGAAATTGTCCAAATCCTTGGTATCAGTGCTTGAGTACGTTTTAACTCTTTTCTAGAACCAATTCCCCAGAATTCTACGTGAATAAACTTAAGAAAAGACAAAAGAGAATATTACTTGGAACCTTTCCACCTCAGTACTGCCCCCTGATAACCCATTTCCCTAGATTCAATCTAACCTGGAGTTCATGCTTCACAAAATGGATACAACTAAAATGTAACCTAAAGTAAGTTATGGGAAAGGCTAGTATTCTCCCTTTAATATACAGTTATGTTCAACATTCTCTTTTGGAGCTGCAGATAATTTTCAGGACAGTGTTTACTGAAACACATTATTAGTTTACAGAGTTCAAGACAATTTTCCTCAACAAAGAAAAATAAAAAACAAATAAATATGTGTAGTCTAAGAGTACCTGCATGATCAGCTACACATTTTCCCAAGTTAACTTTCAACCGCCTGAGGTAATTAAGGCATTTTCGTTTTAAAAAATAAAGCCAATAGTCTTGGGGAGAGAGCGGTGAGAAGCAAAAAGAATTGGAAGGGCAAGAGCTCAAGCACTCCCCTAAATCTGGAGAAAGAACACCAGGTGCCCCCCTCCACCACCCAAAGGTGTTCACCGTTTAATTTCACTATATATATAGTCTAAGTTTTCTTGTAAATTTGAAATTTTATAAATAAAAGTTGAGCTTAAAGTCAAGTTGTAGTTTAGTATTCCGCCTTCACATGCTCTCACGATTCCCAATTTAACACCTAGCTTGCTACTTTATGACTTCAAACCCATGCACAATTCATGACAAATGCGCCTGAGGATGCCATCCAGGTGAAATGAATTTAAAATCTACCTATGAGAGACTACACTTGAAAATAAATTTAGAAAGCCTGCTCAACCCTCAAGAGGTTACTATCTTAAAGCAAACGCGAAACAAATGCCCAGTTTCTTCTGCAGCGCGAGACAACATAGTATCGGAGAATGTTACCGCCCAGCCTTTTACTTTGCTCCCCTGCTACATCTTTGCTCCGCCCACGAGTCGGACCTGCTGCTCGCGGCTCTAAGTGGCTGCTCGTCCTGCAGCAGCTCCGAGGAGCACTGCCCTGCAGCCCTCAGCCTCGTCAAGCCAGGATCCCCAAACTGGAGCGTGCAAAGTCGGGGTCCACCCCAGTACACCACACAAACAACAAAAAAAAACAACTTTAAAAGTTGATAAGCTAAAACGCATCGTGCCCCCTCCTCTTCCTCGCTTTTACAAGAACCCAAAGAGCAGCAGGACGTTAGCAGCAGGCTCCGCAGCCGCCCCAAGGACAGCTGGACCCCAAGTCCCCAAGTCCCAGCAGATCGCCAGGTCGGGGGGAGGTGGGGGGCGCGGGGTGGGGGGAAGGTCTCGCATCTTCCCTGCAACCCCGGAGGCACCTGGTCACCTGCCCGCGGTGGACACCGCGGCCCGCCGGGGGGAAAAGGGGGGTGCCCGGAGCTGGGGGGACAGCGGCGAGCGGTGACACCCCGGCCCGGGCCCCGGGGCGCGCGGCTCCCCGGCCCCCCGCGCGCCCCCGCCCCTCCCCGCACAGCCTCCGCGCCCCTCCCCACCCGGCTCCCTCCAGCCTCCACGAACGGAAATAGGAGTCGCAGAGCCGGGGACCAGCGGAAACAAAACACAGCGGCGGCCGCGGGGGGCCGCGGAGGGGAGAAGGCCCCGGAACGAGGCCGCCCGCGCGGGCCGCGCTCGCTTCCTCCCCCCGCGCGGCCGCACTCACCGCTCCGGAGTCGGCCCGGCCGCCGCCCGCGCTCCGGGCCGAGGAGAGCGGCGGTGCGGGCTCCACGTGCAGCGTCGCCCCGGTAAGGCCCGCAGCTCCCGCGGCTCCAAGTGGGAGGCCCCGGGCCCTTCCCGCGGAGTCGGCGCCGAGAAACTCCGACCCCTCCCGCCTCCCAGGCGCCCCCGGGCCCTGAACTACAACTCCCAGCAGCGTGCGCGAAGCGAACGCCCGCGGCAACGGAGGCCCGCGAGGCCCACGGGCGCGCAACGCCCCCGTCCTCTTTGTTTTCCACGCTCTCCCCGTCCGCGCACGATCACACACCTCCACCACCCCAAGGAGCAGGACTCCGACTCGGGGCGGGGGGTGGGGGTGAACTAGGGGAGAGGCGAGCCCAAGTGCGCATGCGCACACCCCCAGGTGTCCAGGAGGGAAAAAGAGAGCGGGTCAAATTAGGCGACGGGAAGATGGCGGAGGCTTCGCCAGGGGACCCGGAAGCACTTACCCTCCACTTCCTCCTCCTGTTTGGCGTCTGTTTCACCTAGAGCCGTCCGGTCGCAGACTTTCTCCGAGACGTTTCCTGTCCGGTGAGTGTCGACCGACTGAAACGGCGGCCCATAATGCACTGCGATGGCGGGTAGGCGGTGGGGGCGGGGCCAGGGCCGGAAGTGGAACGGCGGTGGCGGCGCTGGCCTTGGCAGCTCGGGGACTGAGTGCAAGGTGACTGGGAGGGGAGCTGGGCCGGCCCGGCCTCTGGGGACTTGAAGTCTGGGCTTCTGCTCGGGTGCAAGGTGACTGGAAGGTCAGCTGCAGCGGCTCGGCCTCTGGGGACTTCGAGGCTGAGCTTGTGCCCCGGGCCTCGGCCGCCCGTGACCTCTGCCCGGCTGCAGCGGGGCAGCCCCGGGACCCCGGCGGCTCCCGGCCTGGCCCGCGGCCTCGGTGCCCGCCGCCCTGTTAAGTGTGCGGGGGACTTGGTGGATAGCCCCGGGAATACCCCTCTGCGGGCACCCCGGGCCTTGCGGGGGGCTGGGAGGCCAGGGGGTTAAGGAGCCGGAGTCCGGCCCGGGCGCCCCAAGGTCAAGCCTGCTGCGCGCCTGCCCGGCCCGGGCGCGGAGAGGGGCTCTGGGTTATGTAAGCAAGGCGTGCGCCTCGGCGGGAGAAAGGGGTGACAGGAACCCTAAAAGTTCACCCCCCGCCTGGAAGTGTTGATCATGCATCATCCTTAGGCCTTTGTCTTACTCATACTTTCCCTGCACATTCTCACAGCTCTTGAACCCCGAGGAGCCGAGCGGGGTCTGGGGGAAGAGGTAGGAGGAGCTCGGAACGAGGGGGGAGGTCAGACTGGGGGAGCAGAGGGCGGAGCTCCAAGTAGGGGGGCATTGAGCGTTCGCAATATTTCCAGGAGGGCAGAGAAGAGCTGGGCGGGTTCACTTTAGAAATGTACACTGAGGAGGCAGCAGACAGACCGGTGTTGGGCAAGTCACTCACTGCTATAACGGAGAACCCCGCTCCATCCCACCTCGAGGCCTCTGTACTTGCTGTGCCCTGTCTCGGGGTGCCCTCCCCAGTCTTGTAGACGGTGCCGAATCCCTGCCATAGGCTCTTGTGGCACCCCATAGTATTGGAGTGGAGCGTTTACCCCAGTTTGGTATTTACGTGTTTGTGTATAATGACATGTCTTCCACTTGAGCGTGGACAGAGTGACTCCCCACTCAATATTTTCGCAATGAATTTAATCAGTGAAAGGAGCAGGAACAAATTTTGATGGTGAGATCATGAGTTCTCTTTGAAGACAAGCTGATGTTTGGTGCCCTGTCGGACTTTGCAATAGAGGAGAGAACTTGTTGAAGGTATAGGTTTGGAGTTCAGGAGAAAGACCAAAATTAGAATGTGTTCTTGAAATCAGTAGTACTTAGATAATAGAAATTGAAAAAATGAACTAGATTTTATCCTTGTTGCAGTAAAAATAACAGGATTCTTTGTAGTTAGATTTCGAACACATTAGCTGTGGGAATATGGACAATTTAATAACTTTTCTTTAGAAATAGTTTTATTTATCTGTAAAGGGCTAAGAGCACCTTCCTTTGATTCCTAACAGTTTTGTAAAGGTAGAAGAAGAGAATATATTGGGAATTGCTTTGCAAAAAACCCAGGACTGAGCAAATCTTAGATGGTCAAAGAGAAAATAGACATCAAGTTACATAATTTTTAAAATGATTGTGTCCAGTTAAATTATACTGTGTAACCTTGGACCAGGTACTTACCCATAAAACCTGGTTTCTGCATATTTAAAATGGGAACGATAATAAGTAGCACCTTAAGGTCATTTGTTATTTGCTTGGAAATACTTTTCACTGATGGGGTAAGATACATGATATCTTTAATTTGTTCAAATAAATTTGCTTTTATACTGGTAGGTGAAGGATATTTTGTTGATTGTAGTATTTCTTTTAGTAATTATTGAGAAAATTAGCTGAAAGAGAAAGACAATGAAGACACAAAATACAAACTCAAGTTTTTAAGTTAAATATAAAATTACCCCATCATACTGCTGTAGTTTCTAGATACTTATTCCCAGTTATGTGTTAATATAAACCAGTAACAATTTTCATATTACTACAAACTACACTATCACACTAAGCAGTGGTATTATAACTTAGTAGAAATCCATTGTCAGTAAGATGGCGATGATGATGATGATTAAATAATTAGATAATTGGAAAATGGGGCATGGAAATCATGTAGCATTTCAAAGTTTCATTTTGTTTGGAAATTTTTCCAAACTATTTTGTTATCATCCCAACATAGAGTTTGGTAAGCCCTCTCAGTTTAAGAGATTCCATTTTTTTCTCAGAGGGGAATTTCTTCGAATTCCTATTTGCATATTTTCATTGGAATTTGGAATTTTATTGTATTTTATCTTTCAAGACACTAAATGAGATCACAACTGAGAGCTTTCTCTCATCTAGTGAAATCTTTGAGTTAGAATATCAAGTATTTTAGCTTCAGAAATCTAAGGGATTGGAAGTCTGTAAGTCCTTATTTTTAAAATTCAGACCTCTGGCTCCTTCACAAATTTTATTTTACTGATTAGGTTGCACTGCCTGTTTATCCCTCTCATAGCAGACTCTCTTGGGCTGGTTGCTGTTTTTCCTTGCTGTTCTTGGTGGTGATGGTGCCCATGAATGCCTGGGATCCTGCAGTTTTGACAGAGCAGTTTCTTCCACTGAGGGCCTGCGAAGTAGAAGGCCCCCCCCCCGCTGTCAGTCCTAGCTGAGGCAACTGTATCCACTCTCCCTGGCCATCTCTCTTGGCAGACCTGGTACATTGATTTGTGGGCCAGTGTTGTTCTTTCCCCACTGGCAACAGGCTGTTTTTTGTTTTTGTTTTTGTTTTTGTTTTTTTGAACATTCTAGCTCCATTGTTTGCTCTGACCCAAGACTAAATTCATAGAGAAGAAACACTCCACCCCAGATTTTGTGCTTTCTTTCTGCATGTAATCTTAGTGGAGTCCCAGGCCTGAGAGAAGCCCCTTTTAATTTTAGCAATATTGCAGTATTCCTGAGTTGTTACCAACAGCTTCTAGGTCTCAGGACTTTTTTTTTTTTTTATGGTAATTTTTTTTTTTTTTTTTTAATATGTGACCCATAGTATTGGACTCTAAGATCTCTGCTTCTCTCTTTCTACTTAAAGACTATCCTGAACTTCAATTTCTGTTCTCTTTGTGCTCTCTTCCTGCTACAGATGTGATCAGCTACTTCAGACCCCATAACCTTTCCAGAGTTCAGATTCCCATACTCATACTTTTCTTATATAGTCTTAGTATTTCTTTTTTTTTTTAATAATAAATTTTATTTTTATATTCCCCCATACAATTGCAAATGCCCCATTCTGACCCCAATCCCTCCCCTCCCGGCCCCCACCCCCCAAAAAGTGTCTCTGGTTCATAGTTTTTTGTTGATTTTGATTTTCACTTTCTTATAGTTATTCATTTTCCTGGTCCCTTATTTAAGTTTTCTAGATTCCTGCTATGAGTGAGATCATCCGGTATTTTTCTTTTTCTTTTTGGCTTATTTCACTGAGCATGATCCCTTCCAGCGCCATCCATGTTGCTGCAAATTGCATGTGTTTATCTTTTTTGAATGCTGAGTAATATTCCACGGTATATATGTACCACATCTTCTTGATCCAGTCATCTATTTTTGGGCATTTGGGCTGTTTCCAAAGCTTAGCTATTGTAAATAGTGCTGCTATAAACATAGGGGTGCAGGTGTTCTTTGGAATTGATGTTTCTGTGTCCTTTGGGTAAATACCTAGGAGTGGAATTGCTGGATCATATGGAAGCTCTATGTTTAGTAGGTCCAGAAATCTCCACACAGCTCTCCATAGTGGTTGGACCAGTTTGCACTCCCAGGTCTCAGGACTTTTTAATTAAGATGCAAAATACTAGTGGAGAATGTAGAGGGAAGGGTGCTGGTCAGTTGACTGTCCTTTGCATTCACTGAGTTCTGTAACATTTCTATGGTTCCGTTACAGAAGAATTAGATTCCCACTTGTGATATGGGCATCGCTATTTTTTAAATTTTGGATATATTTTTAAGTATTTTAACATTTTGGTGCTTGTTTTCAGTTACAGAATCACCATGATTCTTCAGAGGCTCTTCAAGTTCTCCTCTTTCATTCAGTCTGCAGTGTCAGTTCATTTCAGGAGGAACATTGGTGCCACGGCAGTGGCATTTAAGGAACTTGATCCTGTACAGAAAATCTTTGTGGACAAGATTAGAGAATACAAAACTAAGCGACAGTAAGTGGGTAAATCAACTGTGGTATAAATATAAATAGGGTATGCATTCAGTAAAGTTAATTTCTGGATATTTGAAAGTGTCTGAGACCTTTGCTGAACTGATTCTTGACGTGAACGGTCCTTTTGGTGCTCCAAAAGAAGATAGTAGTATCTTGATTTTTTTTTTTTGAGTCCTAATTTTATACCCCTTATATATGTTCCAAGAAAGTATTCCATCAAATCTATTGTCATTTTAGATATGTAGTCAATTTATAGACACAGATAGAATCTTTGAAGTCATTTATGAAGTACATTTGAGAGAATTACATCCTTTTAACATTGAGTAGCCTAAATTCATAAAACGAATTGGGAGAAAAACATAACTAAAATATTCTAACGCAGTTTTGTGTCCTTTCTATGAAATCATGATTTGGGAGAATTATATAAACACAGTGTTTTCTCTATTGCGTTATTTATGGGTATATATTTCTGGGACTACTGAAAGACAAAGGACTTGAGATGGCATAAAGCAAGTTAGAAGAAACCAGAATTATAGGGCCACACAGTTTGGAAGAAGAATGATAACCTTAGCTAACCCCCTAAGTCTTAGAAAAATAGTATATGTCAATTCATAGCTGTTTTACTTGTCTACTATGTGTAAGACACAGCCTGTTAAGTGTGATTGGCCACAGAGAAAGAAGCCACATAGCATTTCTAATCTTAAAATATGTAGAGTTAGGAAGCTTGTGAGCCAAATGAGTAAGCTATGAGGTAAAATGGGCTAGATGCTAATATAGTGACACATGCAGTGTTTGTGGCAGTCGTAGGAGAGAATGCTCCTTTCTAGCTGGAGGCCTTTTGGAAAGCAGTTTGGAGGGGTGACTGTTTTATCTTGGTACTGAAGGTAGCGTTTCAGGTCATTCTTTCCTTTCTGAGATGATCAGGGACAGGTATAGATTGTTCCAGTTAAAAAAAAAAAGAAGAAGAATTTATTCATGATCTTAATTAGTTCCAAAGATTCTCAAACCTATAGAGCCTTCATAGGCACCCACACCTGGGGGTCTACCCCAGGTATGAAGGTTGGACAGATAAATGCCGGTGGGAGGAGAATATCGTTTCAGAGGAGAGATGTGAGCTAAGACATATAAACTAGAAAGTACAAAGTGTACTGGGAAATTGTGAAATGTTGTTTCCCAAGAGTATGGGGCATGAGTGCAAAGGGAGCAGCGTATAGGATGGGGTTAGAATGAGGGATTATAGAAGGCCTTGATTATAGACCAGGCAGTTAAGATACTATGTGATAGGGTCACCCCTGTGACACAGCGAGTTGAGTGTAGCACTGTAAAGCTGTTCGCAGCCTCTGCAGCACCGGTTCGATTCCCAGCCGGCCAGGGAGATTCCCACATGGTGAGGCAGACCTCTCCTGTCTCGCCCACTACTCCCCTCAGTAGTGTACTTCTGTCCTTCTGCCTGTTGTGCTTCCTGCTCTGTCTCTGGTGAATTTTCTCACCCTCCCGCGCCTCTGACCTGTACCCCAATGCTTATATAAATAAATAAATCTTTTTAAAAAAGTAAAAAGAAAAGATACTATGATAGATGTTTAAGAGAATTAGAAAATTTAAAGATTTTTGAGCAGGATGGTGGGGTTGGGTAAGATTTCTTTGTTAGGAAGATAATATAATCACGGTGTATTAGAAAAATTGGAACAGAAGAGAGAAGATATATCTTTTAGGAAAATGTAATCAAGTTTTAGTTGATGAAAACCTTGTTTTCATGGCAATAAGAATATAAAAATAACAGAGACAACATATTGAGAGACTGAACCCATCTGGGGGACCTGGTGGAGAGCCTGGAAGAAGGGAGCAATTAAAGGGTCCTGGGACTTTGGCGCTACTCAGGAAGTAGGTGACCAGGACCAGTAGTGGAATTTGAGTGTTCTGGACATGTTACGGCATCTTCGAATTGATGCTGTTTGCACTTTAATTGTTCTTAAAAACCTGTCCAATAAGAAGTCTAGTGTTAGTTGCAATCTGAATCTAAGCAGTCTAGTTCATTCATTTGGGCAGACAACGTGAAGAAGTGTTCCGTGCATGAGCTCTGGACTGGATTCTGGCTCTGCCACTTGGGCAGGTTATTTCACCTTTGTTCTCAGTTTTCTCATAAGTGAAACGGGGATGATAATAGCAGTACCTAGTTCATGGGACTTAGCGCTTAAGTGATTCAATAAATTATTATGTCTAGTGTTTTTTAAGTGAAATAAACAGTATACTTTGCTTTGGCCTAGTCACTGTGTTAGAGTGGAGATAAAATAATAAACAAGTGAACTTGGACATAAATTCAGTTGATATAGATGATTTCTGGTCCTTTTTTATCATGAGTGCATGTTAAAGTTATAGTAGCCATTTTCTATCAGTAATGGTAACTTGCTGAGATTGACTACATCTTCTCAAAGCAGTTTCTAAAGCTTGTAGCAATTCCTTAATCTGCTTAGCCACATTAGCCAGTTCCTTAATCTGCTTAGCCACATTGTTAGTGTTCAATAACTAGACTGCCTTTAGACAGCACAGATAGAGAGCATTTCTCTCATCACAGAAAGTTCTTTTGCTCATGCTGATCCAGAAGAAAGTTGGGTCCATGTTATGAAGCATTAGTATGTTCTTAAATTTGAGCTGTCTTATGCTTTGCAAAAATTCTTAAATATAAGTAAGTCCATATGCTTTCAGCAAATGAAAATATTACTATCTTTGATGGAATTTTCATTTGTAAATGTATTGTTCATTCCCAATAACATTGTGACCAACAGAAGAAATTGTACAAAAACTGAGATCTCATTGGTGTGCTGCTAAATTCATCTTCCAAAGCACAACTTTAATAATTTTGTCACTTTGGGCCTCCCTGGTGGCGCAGCGGTTGAGCGCTGGGTTGCGAAGCTGCCACAGCCTCTGCAGCGCCGGTTCGATCCCCGGCTGCTCCCCGGCCACCGGAGGAGGGTCCCACATGGCGCGCAGACCTCTCCTGCCGCCCCCTGCTCCCCTCAGCAGTGTACTTCGGTCCTTCTGCCTGCTCTGCTCCCCGCTCTGGCTCTGGTGAATTCTCTCACCCTCCCGTGCTTCTGACTGTGCCCAGTGCATGTATAAATAAATAAATAAATAAATCTTTAAAAAAAAAAAAAAATAATTTTGTCACTTTATTGCTTCTCAAATAAAATACGAACTCCCCAATTTAACATTCTAGCCCCTTCCAAGATGGGGCTTTTCCATCTAGCCTGCTTAATATTCCCCACATCCAGCCAGTGCTTTACCACTGCCACATCTTTGCTTTTTCAGTTTTAGAATGTTTCCTAATAAAATTTGACCCAAAATACATTTGCATACATGCCATCTTTTAAATGAAATTCTTTTAGCAAAAATGTGCTCTCTTCAACTGAAGTAACTTTTTATTAAACCATGTCTTTGAAGCTGTAAGGGCAGGACTGGACACAGTGCAGGTTTTCTAGGATCCCATGCAGACCGGGTAAAGGAGTCAGAGTCCTTAGTGGTTTTTGCAGGTCTTTTGTTGGGATTTACCCGGTACACAGCAGGCAAGGGTGCTGGGGGGCCGGGAGGCTGGCAGGCCTCCCAGCCCCCAGCAAGTCTTCACTCTCTCTGGGCTCTCCGGCCTTCTTTGCTTCTGCTTCTTTGCTTCTGTTCGTTCTCGGCTTCTGCTGGCATCCCCATGACTCCGCCCTTAAAAAAAGCACAGTCTTAGCCCAGGTGAATCCCATCTACCTATGCCTGCACCCTATTCCAGGTGACTGCCATCAGGCATGCATTCAGGACCTCAAGGATCCATCATTTATCCTGATGGCGGGAGGGCAGAAAAGCCTGACATTTTTCCTTTCCCTACAGAAGCTTATCATGTATTCCCTGCTAGCCTAGAGGACTTGCTGTTTTAGATGTTGAAACTTAAGTTTAGAGTGCTTTGTGCCTTGCTTTGGTTTATGCAGTTACTGTGTAGTAACGCTGATGTCCAAGTGGGTGCAGTCATTGACTCCAGCCACAGACGCAGCCATTATCTCTTATTGAAACTTAGACCTAGAGAGATTCTGCCTCAATAAATGTCCTTGATACTAACAAACCTTGAATGTTCCTTTGTTTGAAGTTGCCTCATTTCAATTAAACTAATCTCAATCAGTTTAATTGAAATTCAAGTGGAAATACTTGTTTTCTTTGGAAAAGTATATTTTTCCTTACATTGATACCCATAAGAGGTCTATTAAAATGATGATAAGAGGGCCTTCCCTGGTGGCGCAGTGGTTGAGCACTGGGCCGCGAAGCTGCCTGCAGCCTCCGCAGTGCCAGTTCAATCCCCGGCTGCCAGCGAGGGTCCCACATGGCACGACAGACCTCTCCTGCCGCGCCCTCTGCTCCCCTCAGCAGTGTATTTCGTCAGTCTGCCTGTTCTGTTCCCTGCTCTGACTCTGGTGAATTCTCTCACCCTCCTGCGCTTCTGACTGTACCCAATGCTTGTATAAAGAAATAAATAAATCTTTAAAAAATATATATATATGATGGTAAGAATTTTGTTTATGTAAACTAGTGCCTACAGTGAGTTTTTTCACTTGTTCATTTACATAACAGGGCATCTGGAGGACCTGTTGATACCGGCCCAGAATATCAGCAAGAGCTGGATAGAGAGCTTTTTAAGCTTAAGCAAATGTATGGCAAAGGAGATATGACTGCGTTCCCTAACTTCAAATTTGAAGGTGAGCCTCTTTAATGACAGATTCATTCTTGTGGGAGATCATTAAATGTAGAATATTTATACATTTATACTTGGGTTAGTCAGAGAATTAAATGACAATTACATTGTGTGAATTTATTAGGATACTGACTCAAGCATGGCCACCCTGGGATAAATGTTTGCTGTTGATAAAGGATATAGGAGGTTATATAAGCAGAGAGCTATTGTGACAGGAACTTTGTTGCTGCTTTGCAGCGGGAACGTGATGAGGGACACAGCAGTCATGGAGCAGGTTTGCAAGGCAAGACTCTTCTTGAGCAGAAATTCTTGGGCTGTTGATTGAAAGCAGATAGGCTAGTCAAAGCTGATCATGTGACAATGGTATGAGGAATAAACTCCAGAGGGTGGGATTGGAATGGGGGACAAAGTTTTATGAGGACCAGAGAAGGGGACATCGTGACCATAAGTCAAGAGCCATTTGCATCAGCAAAGTATTTGATGTTATCACAGGCAGAGTTATCCTGAGACCACCATGGAGACAGTCACGTAATCAGGTCAACAGTGGCCTAGGCATCCCCAGGTCTGCCTGGTGATACGGGCTCTACTCCGTAGGCAGTCAAGGAATGCTCTCCTGTGATTTGCAGATAGCAAATAGCTCACAGTTACCCGTGAGTGGCCAGCTAGTAGCCAGCTCATTGGAACCCGCAGTGGGCATCTGATACCAAACTCCCTGAACTTGGATTCTGACTATCATTTATCAGCTTTCTTTCTTTCTTTTTTTTTTTTAATTTTTTTTTAAAGATTTATTTATTTATACAAGCACTGGGTATAGTCAGAAGCGCGGGAGGGTGAGAGAATTCACCAGAGCCAGAGCGGGGAGCAGAGCAGGCAGAAGGACAGAAGTACACTGCTGAGGGGAGCAGTGGGCGGCAGGAGAGGTCTGCGCTCCATGTGGGACCCTTGCCGGTGGCTGGGGATCGAACCGGCACTGCAGAGGCCGCGGGCAGCTTTGCAACCCAGCTCTCAACCGCTGCGCCACCAGGGAGGCCCAATCAGCTTTCTGATCTTGGATGTTTGACTGGTGCCTGTTCTCCATCTGACTCTTGGAGAGAATTACAATATCTTCTTTTTGGTTGTGATAGTTAAATATTTCTTGTCAAGTCAGTGACTTACTGCAAGTGTTGAATAAGTCTTTAGCTATTATTTCCATGTACATTTTTTTAAATGGTAGGTATTTACTTTGAAAAAATATAATATTAGTAACTTAAATATTAAAGTATTCTAGATAATGTAAGTTTATTGCAGAATGGTTAATTTGAATCTATTTTTCTTCTTAGAACCCAAGTTTGAAGTCATTGACAAACCACAGTCCTGAAGAAATGATGTAAAATGTATCTGGTAATTTATCGTGCATTAGTTTACAACTTAGGAGAAGTATCAGAATAAACATATTTCACCACCGTCAAATGTGATTTTAATTCTGATTCCAAATAAATAATTGGTGATGCTGGGTATCTGCTTACATGTATTGAATTCTGTCTTCTAGCATTGTTTTTAATTCCTGCCGTTTGCTTATACAGAAGCAGATGGAGACCTTGGAGAGTCTCCATCTGCTTACAGAGTACAACTTGCCTATAACCTGGCAGACTTTCTGGGTGCACAGAGTGTGGCTACAGTTGTGGACGTGGCTACCTAAGGAGAGCCACCCTGGCCTAAGGAGTGTTTCCCGTGGAGAAATGTACATTCTCCCAAAATTAAAGAAATGGTTTATAAATCCTTTATCATAACATTTTTCAAGAAATTCAAGTGTAGGGCCTCCCCTGGTGGCGCAGCAGTTGAGCGCTGGGCTGCGAGGCTGCCCACAGCCTCTGCAGCACCAGTTCGTTCCCCAGCCGCCAGCGAGGGTCCCACTAAAAAAAAAAAAGAAATTCAAGTGTAATTTTGAACATAAACATCGGTTGTTTTGGCTTCTATCAAATGCTAAAGCTTTGAGGACCAGTAAACCAGGACCTTCCTTTGCCCTCGCAGTGATGATTACAGAGCTTATTACAATGTGATCCAGATAGAGGAGGGAAAGCGTGAGGGGCAGAGGGGTTTTGGGGGTGGGGGGGCGGTTACAGGGGCCTCCAAAGGAACTTGCTGAAAAGGTACGGCTCTTTGGTGGTGTATTGCCCAAGTGATGGAAGACCCAGCACAGAAGTGATGGAGAAGCACATAGCAGCCATCAAAGTTTCGGTAACTCTGGCTGGCTCTCCGTGAATTATTGGGAAAGGAGGGGAAACAACGGCATTTTTATACCTGACAGTCTCTCTCATGCGTCTCAATAAATATGGGTCTTTGTCAATAAATATGGGTCTTGGGCCTCCCCGGTGGCGCAGCGGTTGAGCGCTGGGTTGCAAAGCTACCCGCAGCCTCTGCAGCGCCAGTTTGATCCCCGGCCGCTGGGCAAGGGTCCCATGTGGCGCGCAGACCCCTCCTGCCGCCCGCTGCTCCCCTCAGCAGTGTATTTCATCTGCCTGCCTGTTCTGTTCCCTGCTCTGGCTCTGGTGAATTCTCTCATCCTCCCGCGCTTCTGACTGTACCCAGTGCTTGTATTTAAAAAAAAAAAAAAAATCATAAATAATGGTCTTGATAGATCTTTAATAGTAGAAATCAGTCTTCTTTATGAGTTTAGGTCACTTCAAAAGAGGTAAATCTATGATGTGGCAGGTCATACTAGCTGGAGTCACCTGCTGAGGAATACCTTCTTCAAAAGACCCACATATGCTCCCTGATGAAACTGGGGAAACCTTCCAGCAGGGAGAAGGAGGGAAGTCTTCACGAGAAGGTGGAAATTGAGCAATCATGGTTGAACGGAGGGAGTGTTTATGAGTGAATGTACAGAGGGGGGGAAACTTGCCCTTGTGGAGAAAAAATGACCGAGTTCATCTGGATGAGCACCGAAGGCGACGGAAGAGAAATCACAAACTCATGACTGAACAGGTAGGTTGTGACACTATGACGACGTGTGGGTGGGGAGAAGCCTAGAATCCCAGGCCAAGGGACTTAGAACTTGGTGACAGACAATGTGAAGTAAAAAAGCTTTTTAGCAGGAAAAGGAGGGATTTGACCTGAGTAATTTGGCAGTAACTTGATGGATGGGAAAAGGAGAGGGGGGAAGTAGAGGTAACAGAATCTTCACAACAGGAAAGATTGAAATAGTGACTAAGAGAAAGGGAACTTGAGGGAGGAAGTTTCCGGAAAACAACAGGTGAGAATGTAGCAAAAGGCAAGATAAGATAAAAAGGTCACTTTTGCCACAGATTCTGCATAATGTCATCTTGTGATAACATTGATGAAAAGAAAACATCGATTTCAGCAGGGGCCACTATGGAGTTCACAAATTCTCTCTGTCCGGATATCCTTGTTCCCCCACATCCCAAAGTTGTGCAATTGCGTTCACTAGGCAGTTCCCAACTGCCCCGGTATGAGTGAGGGGAGGGTGTGATGTGCCCTGTGATGAAGGGCATCCTGTCCAGCGTGGGTTCTTGCCTCGCACCCTGAGTTGCCAGGAACCAGCCACTCATGACCTTGGGCTGAACTGAAGGAATGAGAAGACAAATTACTGAATATTAGAGGTGTTTGGGTCTTTATTTAGAAGTTTGGTGATGTTTTTGTTGGGGGGCATGGGTAGCTGGGCTTTTCACCTTGGCTCTAGGAACACCCTGCATGATGAAGAGCCAAACTCCATTCCCGGCCCTCCACCAGCACCCACGCTGGAGGAGGCAATGCCTCTGCCCTCATGTCCTGCTGGAAAGGGGTTGGAGCTGAGCAGCCATTTTTGTGAACCTTTAAAAAGGAACTGAGACACAGGGCAAGCTAGGAATTATGCAGTTTTAGGGACAGTGCAGGAGGGGACCTCTGAAGAATTTAGGGAGGCTTCAGAGATAAGGACAACCAAGGGAATGTAACCAATTCCACTGGGAAAAACAAACATCCCAGGACCACGGACAATGTTAACAATGGTCCCGGTTTTCTTCAGGTGATAAGATAAAGTGTAGAGATGCTCACCTGGAGGACTAAACCATAAAGATAAAGCGATAAGCATAACAAATGGGGAAAGACAGACCCGTTAGATAAGGAATGTGAAGATCCCCCACTCAGTAGCAAATTAAGTGAGACAGCCAGAACTAACCAATCACAAAGAGACTGGTGGAGTTTTAGAATAATCAGGGAAAGAAGGTGTATATTCCCTGAGACACAACTCCACTTGGGCTTCCTTGCCCCTCCCAGGCCTGGTTCCCTGGCCTGGGAGTCCCACTTTATTTCTGTTCTTTTCCTCCTCAATAAACTTTTTCTTTCTATAAACAAATCTGCCTCTTCTCGCTTGCTTGCCTGAGCGTCTGCGAAGTTCCTGCTGCGGCTTCGTGAGACACCAACCCGTGGGGGTCTAGCGGCTGGGGCTCAGCGCTGCCCTGCAGCCTGAGATCCATTCCTGGCTGAGAGACTAGGCCTGACCATTCCGGTATCAGAACCATGGCCTCCCTGGTGGCGCAAAGGGTTAAGTCTTCACTATGAAGCTATCTGCAGCCTCTGCAGCATGAGTTCAATCCCCAGCCAGGGAGCTACCCACATGGCGCAGCAGACCTCTCCTGACTCGCCCGCTGCTCCCCTCAGCAGTGTATTTCAGTAGATCCACGTGTTCTGTTCCCCACTCTGTCTCTGGTGAATTCTCTAACCCCCCGCACCTCTGGCCTGTACCCTAGCTCTTACATGCATAAATAAATAAAATAATTCTTTTTTTTTTTTTTTTTTAAAGAAAAAGGAGCAAAGGACATGGGCTCCATCTTAGGGAGCTGCTGTAGAAGGCAGCTGCCACCACCTTCATGCCCCAACCTCACCTCCACCTCGGACCCCTGACCCACCCTACCAGCTACTAAAGCTGTAACTGCACCTTGCACCAAATCAGTCAATAACTGGACCTTCTACCCCTCTCTCCCTCTACAATGCTGGTGGAAAAAATTGTAATTTTTCTCTCTTTTTCTGCAGCAAAGGCCCTTTTGTTTGTATTTGTAGCGGCATGTGGCTGGATGCAGAACCAGAAAGTGTCTGACCCCACGAGTCTTTAGACTTTTCCCGGTAACAGCCACCATCGACAGCCCGCAGGAACTTAAACTCTTGTCTCTATCAATCAACCTAAGGTAATTGGTTTCATTATACACTCTTTCACTTAAAGTTTCAGTTTCAAAGAACCTAATGGTTCCGAGAACCAAAATGCTAAGTGAGGAACCAGTGTAGTGACAATCACCACATATAACCCAGAGGCTACAGCTGGGGAGATTTAGTGATAGGAAAGGCCTTTGTCGGTGACAGAATTTAAATGTATTCATCATGTCTGACTCCAGTCTTTTAAAAACTAAGGTAGAGATTTGGACTTCTGTGGTGAGGGGTGGGCGGGTAAGAATGAAATTGTTAGGGGGAAAAGGATGTCCCAAAGCTAATTCCATATAGGCTTTGTGGACTCCACCCCCACCCCAGGCCAAAGCCAAAGACACTGGAAACTCCAAATCCCATCACCACCAAAGGGAAGGTGGCTGGGACCTGAGGGTGGGGTTAAGCAGCCAGGTGGATATAAAAGGCAGACACGTGGGCTTTGGGGATCCCCATTTTGGCTCCCCGCCAGCTCGCAGCATCCGGCCAGCTCTAAGAGTGACTTTGGGTTTCCAGGTCGGCGGATCGGGTAGGACGTATTAAAGACTTTATTTTTCTGTTTTCTCCCTGAGTTGTACATTTTCCTAATTTCCTTTTCCCTTGTAAATAAACCTTTTATTAACCTTTTGTGTGTGTCTGTAGTGGAGTATTCATAAGTCCCTTGTAAGCGCACGGGTGAGGACCCACAGCCAGGAACCCGTTCAATATCGGGGCTGCTCTATAACAAAATTACCCACCATGACATTCAGACAGGGTAGGGATGAAAGAGAAGACAGATGTCATAGGCTGTAAAACTAGGGTGGGGTGAATGGGCCGGTGACTTCTGAGCATGAAGGGAAGGTATGGTATGAGAAAAAGAGAAATGCTAGGGTGGAAAGGGTGAGGCACAGAGAATCATCCTCTTATGTAAATTATCCTGAATCAGAAGGCCCTGGACACAGACTTACTCTTCACTTAGCAGTTCTGGGAACATTAGTCACTGTCAAGCTGTTTCCTTATCTGCAAAATGGCATTGTCTACTGTATAAAATCATTGAGATGAATGAGATTTTATACAACCTCATTTTCACCCCACCCCTACTTCTGACATAAAATGTGTTCAATATATAGTTTTTGTCTTTTATTTTCAGAGCATTTTTCAGGCTTTGAGAAGCTGGCAGGCATCCAGGTGAAAGATGATGAGATTCTAACCTTAAACAGCTAAAGAGTTAACCATGTAGCTACAGATGGTAAGAGGGTGTAAAGTCCCAAGTTTTGGTGAACAGAAATAGGTGGATGACTCTTCCCTGAACTGTTAAATAGGGCTTAAAATGTTGAA